CCCCACCCACCCCCCCCACTGGCTCCGCCAGTGCCCACACGCCTCAGTCTTTGCTCAGCCTGCAAACGCATCTCACGTGTTATCGCCGACTGTGCTTTACCCTAAATGATATATAATTTATTGTAACGCGATTTTTTCATAACGCGGTGTTCTTCAGGGAAGCAACTACCGCATTCTAGGAGAACAGACTATACTTTCTTAATTTCTACGGGGAAGTTCCAAGTTTACCTTTTTCACTCTCTCTGGGTTTTTTGTTTTTTCTCTCTGCCTGTGTATTTAGTGTACTTTTTCTGTCTACACTCGTTTTTTGTCGTTCTTATGTTCTGCTCTGTCTGTGTGTCTCCGTTCCTCTTGTGTTTATGTTTTGTCTTTCTTTGGAATTTTCACACTTAAATTCTAACTTAGCAATCTTTGAAATACGTAATCGACCAGGCTATGCGTTAATTGTGTGTTGACCGACTCTCTGTGTTGTATTACATAACATTTCGATATTTTGCTAGGTTATTTAATTTAGTGTGTTCTTTCTCCCTCTCTCCTAATGTTCAAGCCTGCGTACTTTACTACGCGTTCTTCGTACTCATTGACATGTACATTTTTTTCTCTAACCCCTCCCTCTCTCTGCCTCCGCCCCCTCTGTCTATTTAAGGCCTCGCCACAGAGACGATCTCCCTCTCTGTGCCTGTGTTACTCTCTCTATGTATCTTGGTGATATCTGTCTGCTTATATGTCTGTCTATAGTTTTCTGGTTAGATTTTTTGTTGCTATTTCATTTATACCTGATGATGATTGCTTGTGTTGCAATCGAAACGTCGTATGCTATTATTTAATTTATTATTTTATCTTTATACGTGACTTTACCGAAAGAACCAAAGAATAAGACTATACTTTGTTTCCATGTGCTGCAGTATCCAACTGGAGTAGACTCGAGTACAAATGAGCTGATCCTCCTTATAACCCAGATTTTTGTTCACGGATTATTGGAATCGCGTGGCTAATTCCTCCAAAAATCTATAGCGTCTTTTTTTTCTCCACGAATTTTAGGTCTATCATTCGCAGTGCGCCAGGGATTACAGGATCGACAGTACGCCCCCCCCCCCGCCCCCCCCCCTCAGTTTAACGAGGATCGTTGTACAGGTTTCCCTCGTTTTATGCGGTAGTAGATGCGCTCTTACGAACGCTCGCGTACAAAACGAAACAGCACGAGACAGCTGCTTGCCGAGTAGCCCCCACAGTACGCAAGCACAACGCTGTCCCATGTCCGACAGCGTAGCCGCATGAGTGAATTTAAAACTGCATGATAGAAAATGTTTGGCTAGAACTCGGTTATCCTAGCAGTCCTGGTTCTGGGGAGGATGAACAGGTTTACTTTGCAAGCGCTGAAAAGAGATTCGGAATTCCTAGTCGTTGTAAAAATATCACTGCTTGGAAGTAATATTTTTGCAGGTCTATTGACGAGTTAATTACGTTTGGTAAGATTGTAAAAATGTTGTGAATGTTTCTGAAACTAACAATTCTTTGTGGTATGTTTTACGTGACATGAGGACAATTGATCATGAGTGAAAAACGGCCATTCATTGAAAGCATCGTAAATTATATTTGTAATAGTTGAAACATTAAAGCTGTTTCTATTTATTGTCTAATTGGCAAAACAATGATTGGCAAAGAGCTGACCGCATCGTGATGTGTTTTTTTTTGCTTTGCAGTCTTTCAAAACTCTCCTTCTCCATAATCTGGACAATCATCTTATCACGAGTGATAGAACAGCTGCCCTATACTATTTTCCCGTTAAAACGTTACGGAAAGTCAAACTGAATGAGTGCCATATAGCCTGAGCATTTTGTGGGTCCTCAGATGGTTCTTTCCCAACGGTTGGGGTGATAGCTTTACGGATTGTGTGGTCCGAATATCCATTCATCTTGCGAGCTTGGTGCACGTGTTTCAGTTCACTGGCTAGGTGATGATGGTCTTAGATACATCGAGCTCTATGGTGTAGAGTTTTGATGACGGAATTCTTCTGGGATGGATGGTGGTGGGAGTCAGGTTTTAGGTAGGCATCCGTATGAGTTGCTTTCCTGTAGACAGTGTCCCATTGAGCCATCTGGTCTCTTTTCGAATTGAACATATAAAAATGGTAGCTTGCATTCCTTTTCCACCTCCATGGTGAATTTGATGGCTGGGTGTATGGAATTAATGTGGTTTGAGGAATTGGTTCAGAGCTGGTCGGCCATGTGGCCAGATGACGAACGTATCATCTACGTACTGTACCTCTTCCACAAGGACGGACGTAGAGTGGATGGCATCTGTCTCAAATGTTTCCATGAAAACATTAGCTACAACCGGAGATAAGGGAGAACCCATTGGGGTGCCTTCAACTTGTTTGTAAAATTTTCCATTCCAGGTGAAGTATGTATTGGTGAGGCAGTGTCTAACCAATATTGTCGGGCACAGGAACTTTGGTGAACAAAGAAACTACATCGAAACTATATATTTTTACTAATTTGAACCTATCTACATGACTCTACAGAAAGACTCAAATAATATTAATTCCTGCAGTCACGAAAACTGTATGTCAAGATTTGGAGTTGAGTTAGGTAAGTAAATTTATAAACGCACAACTCTTATAAACTACGTTTATCATGAGTCCAGCATTAGTATCATCTTTATCATCAACCATGATCGCCAGACTAACGCCTATTGCTCGTGGTCCTGCAATGTCGCAAGCTATCGGGGACTGAGCTCATCTTGTCACTCCTATCTCCAGGGTGGTTGTCCCCTTGGGCGTGTTCTCTTGGGTTGCCATTCCATTATCGGGCTCGTCTATTGCCCATCAATCCCACCAGTGACGTGTCCTGCCCAAGTCCACGTACTTCCCGCAACAGTCGTTGTGATGTCTCTAATTTGCTTTTGGCATATTTTCAATGACTTCCTCTTTTGGCTTCTCAGTGTAATCGCAACGTCTATTTCCCCGTTTTTATTGGCACACTTTCAGTCTCTATCCCACTTTATTTGTCGGTGTCAATTTTTCGGACTCATATGTCATAGCAGGTACGTAATAGGTACTGATGTAAACCTTTACTTCTCTAGGTATTCCTTGGCACATTCCTCCATCTTGTTCTCGTTTATTTATTTGGTTTATGTTCAGTCCAATTGCCATCAATAATTCACCTACGTATAATGACATCCCTCTAATGATTCTCCTTGGAGCAAACTTGTTGTACTTGACTTTTAAGAGAGTAATACTTTTATTCAGACCTACTTTACAGCCTGCCATTTTCATGTTTGGGTGTTTTTTTAAGCGGCCATAAACATACGGCCAAATGTTTAGTGGTATGTTATAGTGTAATTTCCATCCATACAGGATTCAATTTGATTGGGTCTATTCAGTACAGAATTACTCTGCAACCCATAAACATAATCAAAAACCTACCTTAGTCAATTTACTTCCAAGGGTTGTAGGCCTCATGATGGTCACGAGAGTAGTTTCACCATACCTCACCACGCTTGTCAGTTCAAGTTGGTGTAAGGTGAACCCAGGACCGGTTCCGATATCACTCATCATTCATCTTAGCCGTGGTGGGCATTGAACTCAGGTCTCTGAGTTCATAGTGTAGTCAGCTAACCACTGTTCGACAATTCAAATCCTGTTGCCCTACATCACAATAATGTTGACACCAGTGTTACCATTGTTAGGGATAATCAGAGATACGGTGGTGAGTTGTTAAGATATATGGTGGCGAAATGTTAACTACCTCACCTGGTATACATGCGGTCGTGAGTTCGATCCTGACCGTGACGCCTGCTGTATATTTGGAGTTTTTATGTTCTTCCATGGTCGCGTGGATTCTTCTCCAGATCCACCGGGTTTTCCCTCAATTTTTAGAATAAACATGCATTTGAAGCATGTGGCTGCTATAAATGTCCACATTATAAGCCACTTCGTTGCACTATAATTTGTGACCAGGTCGTTTCTGAAAAAGAGCCTTTAGCTCAGTCAGCCTTACCTGGTAAAATACAAAATATTTCTATTGTAGTTTATATTTAGTTTTTCGTTTTCTGTACCCCAGCGGCCTAGCTGCCACACAGTGAAGCCTCCATCATTATTCGTTTGGGGGTGTAAGAAGTCAGCAGTCCTGGAGAGGCTGGTTCCAGACATGTAAATGTGGAAATTCTACCAAGAAGTGATGGAGTAAGCAAATGTTTTCGTGTTTCCAGTGATGCATGAATATGTATGGGGATGGTGTATGTATGTTTAACTTCTTTCACACCGTGCATAGCTAACCGTGCCATGTGTAAATCACTACTGTCCTATTGTGGCGAGCGCTGAAAGTGACTATTAAAGTTTGCTTGAACTCATGTATCTTTAATGCAGTTGCCATTTCTCCCAACTCCATCCCGATTGTTCCATCTGTGTAATTTCATGAGACAACTAAACCAGCGAAACGTCGTACAGTACCAAATTGGCAAACGTGTGGATTGTTCACCAACAGCACACCCGGTGGGCGGTTTGCTGCTGAAGCAGTCATAACATTGACACGTTTGTTCACGTGACAACTTCATCAAATCAATTATGAATCAAGCGCTCTCTTTTGCTTTGTTTGCTCCATCAATTAATGCATCTCCCGGGCATCTGTGAAACTGCTGGACATCTTATTCTTGGTTCTTTCGGTAAAGTCACATAGAAGGGAAATAATAAAATAAAATGAATATAAATGCTCAGGCTATACGTTTCGACTGCAACACAAGCAATCATCATCATCATCAGGTGTGAAATCCATCTGTGAAGACGAGCTTTACAGCTCAGCGCACTCCTCCCCAGTATATAAATACATATTCTAAATCTCATCGATTAAACTGCAGCCCCCTTGCCACGCATCACGTGCGAGATGACGCAACCATCCCTCCCCCTCGTCCTTTCACGACCAGAACAATTCCGTCACCGCCCCCCCCCCTCCTCCAACGTGATCGCCGTCCAATGGGAATGCGGGGATGCGCGTGACCCCCCCCCTCCCACCCCAACTGCCTCTTTAAGTGGGGGCCGCAGAGCGGGGTGGGGCTCAGTTCGGCGCCAGCCGCCGACGTGACAGGAGAGCAATTCCGTATCGCATCAGAGACCCGGTCAACAGCGATTTGTTTTTATCTCGGTAAGAGCGAAAACGTGTGTCAGTAAATGCCTGTCGATGTTATGATCGAGGTGACGCTCGCGTAATTTGTGTGTGTGTAACGTGTCCTTCACGTAATGCGGTATAACGCGGTGTGTTCTTTTGTTGTTGGAGCTGACGTGTTTGCAACGACGTTACTTGTTTTCTTCTTAAGCCTGGCGGCGTTATATAACTTTTTGGGGGGTAGTTGTGGTTATGATTTTTTTGTTTTGTATAAACGACCGTTCTCTCGTCGTGTTGTGAGGGGGGTGGTGGAATGATGCCCGAACAAAAGCGATGGCTGTTTACGTGAGGGAGAGAAGGGAGCGCCGATGGGTAGGCAGACTCGTACACGATCGGTCAGCAACCCGCTTTGTACAAACCCAGGGGGGGTTATTGGTGATGGGTCGTTAGTGATCGTTGGTGTTGAGCGCCTCGTGCGGTGTGAGATACACATCAGCGCTGGGGAGACAAAGGCGGCCGGGCGTGGTGCTGGCCACCCAACCGCCCCATCGTGGGTGCTCGCTAACAGCCCCACACATCTGTCTAGGTGATACGGGGGGGGGGGGGTCTGTCTTTGATGATGTTGGAGGTGATTCTGATGATGTTGCCGCTGGTAAGTTGATGGTGGTGGTGAGGTTTCATGGTAGAGGCGATGATGTAATAGTGTAGGTGATGTTGACGGTAAGTTGGTGATTGTGGAGGTGATGTTGATGGTGGGTGCTGGTGTTGAAGACTGGATAGAGGTCACGGTTGATGATGGTGGTAATTCTATAGGTGATGGTGCTAATGATAGTGTAGGTGATGTTGAGATGGCAGTAGTGATTGTGGAGGTGATGTTAATGGTGTTATTGGCGTTGGAAGGTGGATTTGTGAGATAGGGTGACGGTGTTGATGGCGGTCGTAGTGATGATGATGATGGTGGTTGGTGGTGGCTAACGGTGTAGCAGCGACCACACCCCAAAGGTCTGTTGTAAACAGATCGGTGTCCTAGCAAATAACAAGACGTGGGTCCAAACAAACTTGGTGGAAATTGAGAGAACACGGCGAAGTGAACGTGGTATAAGAAGCACATATTGTTGTCGTTTATGTAACCTGCTAACGGCTTGTTGCCGCAAGGGGCGGACTGTAAGGGTCCAATCGTTAAATGTGCTGCAGAGTTGACGCAGCCAATCACTGGGAGCGCCGTGACTTGTCAAATGTGGTGCACTCGTCCACCAAGCCCATCATCACTGCGGAGTCAGTTAAATGAAGTACCAATTTGTAGGAAGTCAACGGTGGTTGTACCATGGATAGGCTAGCTGTTTGCTGCTCTGTTGTTTGGTTGTATTGGGAGACTGGCGTGACTTTAACGATTATAATAATGATGCCCTTTATCAAGATTTCAGTCTCGAGACTTTTTTAGGAGGATTCTGAATTGGGATGTTGTGTCCAATTGTATTCACGAGTTGTTTGGCATGAGGAAGGAAACTGGAGTACCCAGAAAATGCACACACAACGGGGAATGGCACGAAAAGCTCCACACGTAACATTGTGTTATCGTCAACTTGCTGTGCTGTCATGTCCTGGCCCCACCGGGTTTGAGCGTTTCCCAGTTTTTTTTGTGGGCCACCAATCCATCGCCCCTCGAGTGCTGCTGGATTGCAGTCACGCCCTCATTTCTATTCGGACTCTCTCATAACACGATTTGTGCCACACATGACCACCGGGAGGAGTTGTTGTTGTTACAAAGTGTTCTTTTTGTTGTTGTCTCTCGGCAGGTTTCTATTTTTAAAATCTGCCACCATGAATGTTCTCTGGAGCCTCGTGCCAGCGCTGCTGGCGGTGATGGCCTCGGCCACTCCCATCCACGACCCCATGCTGGACGAGGAGTGGGGCTTATGGAAGGACTTTCACCAGAAGCTCTACGAGCCGGTGCGGCGGACGCACGCAGAAGTTGGCACTCGCGGATTTGTTTGCGTATCATTTTATCTGCTGTTTGCGTGGCCGGGCGATTTTAACTGATATGATAAATATATAATTGGAGTGATAATTTTTAGACTCCTTTTTGTTGGTGCACTACAAGATGAAGGCTTTCCCCCACTGTTTTAGGTCATGGCGCGGTGGGGGTTGTTTAACCATACTTTATATTTAGATACGATGTGCTACTGCTGTTAGCAATGGCTGGGAATGGAACTTTGGTGATGGCCGTACAGTGCACAACCACTGATCCAACAGCTTCCCCCAATAATGAATAACGTCCCTCTTTTATTCATCAAAGTCTCAAGACTTTTTCAGGGGCATCCTATATTGAGATGTCCATTTCCATTTAGTGTGTGTGTTTTGCACTCGCATAGTAACTTTGTGACCTTGGTGTGACGTGGTTTTCTTTGTTTGTGCTATAGAGGCAGGAGAGCTGGCGGCGTATGATCTGGGAGAAAAACCTGAATAAGATTAAGATACACAATCTTGAACACTCCATGGGGAAGCACTCTTGGCGCATGGGGATGAACCACTTTGGTGACATGGTAAAGACCTTTATCCCACGGTGTACATATACTATCAATGCACTACATGTGTTAATGCCCTCTTCATTGACATACAACTGTGGTCACAGCTGAAAGTATTGGTTTTAGTCTAGGAATATAATGAATTCCAATTGCATTCCCGCCTGAGCAGACTAATGAAGAGTTCCGCCAGAAGATGAATGGTTACCACGGGGCACAACCGCGCAAGGTCTCCAAGGGTTCCACCTTCCTGGTTCCCCAAAACTACGAGGCTCCACCCACTGTCGACTGGAGGGACAAGGGCTTCGTCACAGAAGTGAAGGACCAGGTGATGTCTCCAGACATGGTTTTTGTATTCCAAATTACCTCAAATCGGTGGCAGGGTGGCGAAATGTTAAATACCTCGCCTGGTTTACAGGAGGTTGTAGGTTCGATCCCGACCCTGATGCCTGTATATTTGGAGTTTGCATGTTTCTCTCCCCATGGCCGTGTGGATTTTTTCTCCGGGGCCATCTGGTTTTTCCCATTCACATCTAGAAACATGCATTTAGAGTATTAGGCTGCTAGAAATGTCCGCATGATATGCCATTTCGTTCAGCTATCATGTGGACAGGTGGCTTCTGAAATAGAGCTATGTAGCTCAGTGGGCTTTACCTGGTAAATGAAAACATTTGTTTAGTTTTTAAAACTAGTTTTCGATTATATCAGGAAGCATAGGTAAGGAGAAATTGCACTTTCAGCATTTGTTTGGCAATCCATTTGAGGCATCTTAACCAAACGCAATTTCCCATGGATCGCATTCCCTTTCACCAGGACAATTTCTCACCAACACTTTTCTGGGTCACTGGTACCTTTTGACTAGTAACCAATGCCATAGCAAGAGGGTTTAATGAATGTGGAATGCCGGATGCAAAAATATTACCCAGGTAACTCCGGCTGAAGTTAAAACACTTAACAACCCAACAATCTTCTCAAAATTAATAACTTGGTGTGCTTTACTCTTTGGTTCTTTCGGTAAAGTCACGTATGAAGATAAAATAATAAATTAAATAATAGCATACGACGTTTCGATTGCCGAAACAACCAAACAGTAATTCCTGCAGTCACGAAAGCTCCAAATTAAGATTAGTGTGCTTTGTTATTCTACTGCTGCATGTAGGCCTCCCCGAGCTGTGTTGTGTCGGTCATGGGAGTTTTTGTTACCATACACACTGCTCAGTGGCGGTTAGTGAAGGCTCGGGGAAGGTGGTCGAGGAGCGGTTGACATAACGCGATGTCGCCTTGCGTGTTAGGGCGAGTGCGGCTCGTGCTGGGCGTTCAGCACGACCGGCGCCCTCGAGGGGCAGCACATGAGGAAGGTGGGCCAGCTGGTGTCGCTGAGCGAGCAGAACCTGGTGGACTGCTCGCGGCCCGAGGGCAACCAGGGTTGCGGTGGCGGCCTCATGGACCAGGCCTTCCAGTACGTCAAGGACAATGGAGGCATCGACTCCGAGGCGGCCTACCCGTACACCGGCACGGTGAGCACTGGAGTCCTCGCGATTTGTGCCCTCCCCCCACCATTGCGATTAAATTACAAACATGAGAAATGTAATTGTTGAATCCATGCATTGATACACATCCTTGTAATTCTGAGTTTTGTAATCGAATGTATTGGGTGTTCATTGTTTGACACGTAAATTCACTTAAAGATGCCCGGTGTTTGCGTAATAATGCAAGGCAAGATTTGACTGCAGTTTAAAAGTGTTTATTGTTGTGTTTTTGCGTTTCAGGATGGAGATAAGTGCAACTACGATCCCAAGTTCAACTCTGCGAATGACACTGGATTCGTAGACGTCACCAGTGGCGACGAGAAAGCGTTGAAGATCGCCGTGGCATCTGTCGGTCCAGTGTCCGTCGCCATCGATGCGAGCCATGAGTCCTTCCAGTTCTATCAGTCGGGTGAGCGCTCGTGTGTCTGGAGTTTTCGGCGGGTTTTTATGTTCGTGTATTTGGATTTGAAAACTAAAAATGTACTTTAAGATGATTGCACAACTGCACAGGATTCGGTGAAGGGTATACCCCCCCCCCCCAATCCCTCCTTGATAAATGCTTTTTTATGTCTTGAACTTTGATTGAGTAATAATTAAACAATTTCCAGCCTTAAGTAAATTTGCTGCTTAATGACGCCCCCCCCCCCCCCCACCACATCAAACTTTTTCTTTCATGGGGGTTGTTTGACCATACTTCACCATCCTGGCCAGGTGAGGGTTGGTGCAAGGGGGGGGGGGCAGGACTGTTTCCGATATTACAATTGACGTTAGCCATGGTCAAAAATCGAACTTTAGTCACCGGGTTCGTAGCGCAGTTGCATGAATCGCTTCACCCATCGTTACCCACACAGCAGTTGTAGTTACTTTTTAAAGTTTTGTTATTTCAAATTGTCCGTTATGCTTCGCTTCTGGATGGTGTTGTTCTTGTGTGACCTTCGGGCGAGTCAGCGGCTTGTTGTCTTTGTGACACGAGGCAGGCGTAGTCCAAAGTTCAAAACATGTTTTGAGATAGATTTGCGCAGTGCATTGTTTTCACAGAGTACTTCAACGTTTTTTAACCAATTATCTTTGTTCCTTGGATTTAACATCCATTTTTAAAATAAGTAAAAGTTTCTAAAGAGTTGCAAAACATGAAATGTGTATCGTGTTTCTGATGTAAACTGGTGAGAGTGTTTTGGTTGGATCGGTGCCAACTTTGCCACGTGCCAGCGGTAGTTTATCATCGCTTTGCTGAGCATTGCTGAAAGGGGCCATCGAGGGGAAATCCCTTCTCGGCGGCAGGAAGTAGCGGACTTTATTCGACGTGTATTCCGTTTCCTTTATAAAGAGAAGTGTCTTTTTAGTGCGATTTCCATGCAAGTCGTTCACGATTTTAAAATCGAATTATTTACATAATATCGCATCTCCGCTGCTGGATGAAGACCTCCCCCACTGTCATGTCGGTCGTGGGAGGTTGTTTTTTTTTACCATTCTTCACCCTCTCCATGGCGGGTTGGTGAAATTGAGGTGGGAGCAGGGGAGATTATATATGTCCAGTTGAAATATCACTTGCCACTCGCGTTAGCCATGGCTGGGAATGAAGGTCTGATCGTCTGGTTCATAGCGCAATAGCACTAACCACTACGCTGGCACTCTGCAGTGGAAATTATTGCCTTGTTATAAATACATTTGCTTACTGTGCAGGATTCTTGGGCGTCACATGATCATGGTGTTTGTGCAATATGCTTGTGCTGTTTTTCATGAAGCCGTGCATGCATGTTTATATAGTTGAATAATTTTTAACTTCTGCGGGTAGAGTTTTACTGGCTTTTCTTATTGCTTTTTAGTGTTTTTTTTTATATATATATATCTCTCCTAGGTGTGTACTTCGAGCCCGACTGCAGCAGCCAAGACCTGGACCATGGCGTGCTCGTCGTGGGCTATGGTGTGAAGGGGACTGGTGAGAATGGGAAGAAATACTGGATTGTGAAAAACAGGTACGTCCCATTGTTATGGTTCGTGTATAAGACTACGTACGCCTTTAGCCACACCTATTGTCACGTTTGCATTTGTATTGTTTTAATGTATCTGTCAATAAGTAGGTAATTTAATTGGCTTAATTGGCTAATAATTAGGCATGTAATTGATTCGTGCCACACCGATCTCCCACATCGATTCCATAAATTGCCTTATGTTTGTGTGTCTTATAATTTGTCTTTTTCCTTCATATTTAAAAGTATTCTCATTGTGTTTGTATAATTTGAAGTTGTATTCACTAATTGCCATAGGCGTAACATCATAACAGTTGCATATAATTTCCAAGAATCGCACGTAATTGGATATGCACATACAATTTGTTGCGTGTATCCTGAGTGCAATAATCATTCCTGCGAACTAATGCATCGTTTAACATGTGCCTATAAATGACCGTCGAGTTTTCATGCCATGAAAAATAACTTCCTAGTGCTAACCAGAAGTGCGTGGTTTGTATTTTTAAATTGCTTATCCATGTGAATGTACGCCTGTTGAACGTTTTTCGCACTGTATGTCGCCAACCGTGCTAATTTGGACATCAAACTAAATACAAAAAGCAGTTCTAAAGAAATTGGTTTTCAATCTAGATGTACCGTGCATTGCTCCAGTGGCTTCCTAATATCGGAAAGAAGAGCGCTCCAGACTGCCGCAGAAGTGCATCTGAAAGCGCTCGATGCAGTGACAGTCTTTGTTCGTAGGCAATCGAGGAGGACCGGAGGTTCACGTGATGGTTTTATGCTCTTCGAGATCTGTGACATTTTGTGTAATGAGAGCGAGCTTCGTTCAGCAACTGGAAGCCAATGCAGCTGGGCGAGCACTGGACTGACATGGTTTTGGATCTTGGCAACGAAGTGATATTGCCATGACATTTTTTATTAACACAACTGTTGTGTGTGTGTCTTCCCTCTTGTGTGTGTGTTCCCTCTTGTGTGTGTCCTCTGCAGCTGGAGCCCCAAGTGGGGCGACGAGGGCTACGTGCTGATGGCGCGCAACAAGAAGAACCACTGCGGCATCGCCACGGCGGCCAGCTACCCCTTGGTTTAAATGAAGCCACAGCAATGCCCACTTTAGGCTCGTTTGCTTTATATTTATCCCAACTAAACTTCTTTTTTTTTGGTCGCAATTTTACAATCTTGTTTGTTTTGATTAGGAAATCTAGATCAAGTTCGTTTTAATAGTCGTGTTCAACTTTTACATTTGATTGTACATAATGTGATCTTAGTTTCACAATGGTTAACAAATTGTTCTTAAACGTGAAATGTGTTTTTTATTTGGCATTTCAAAGGAAATAGTATTTTTTTGGGGGTATATCTGTGCAATACCCGAGTGTGTACACTAACCTCAAACTCAATAAAGTATTGACAACAATTTTTGGAGAGCTCTTATGCCAATTGATGTATCTGTTTTCATCCGTGACATTAATTCCACAAACATACCCTAATGTTACAGGAGGGTGGTTTATTTATTAGGAGACCTAAAAAAAATTACATTTTGACAAATGTGAAAACTCAACCTTTGGCCTTTGTTGGTTCTGAAAGATATGTTATCGTTACAGAGATGAGTTCGTTGGGTGTTTTATGGTGCATTGTTATGCGTTTGTTGACATACACGAGTTGAGTCATTCTCCAAGTTAAACTCCACAGTCTTGTCACGTTAAAAAAATGACAACATACAAGAAGCAGTTTGTAGATCTTGTAATTGTATAGTTTTGTTTTAACAGTGAGTGGGGAAAGGGTGCCGATTTGAGGAAAGTGTTGGGATCGGAGCTAGTAATGTCTTATTTTTGGTTCTTTCGGTAAAGTCACGTAGAAGGGAAATAATAAAATAATAAAAATACAACTAAAATTCTCACGACGTTTTGATTGCAACACAAGCAATCATCAGGTGTGAAAACCACAGCAAGAACATTTTTGAAAAGTGGCGGTGGTTTTCACACCTGATGATTTGCTTGTGTTGCAATCAAAACGTCGAGAATTTTATTGTTAAATTTTTATTATTTTATTATTTCCCTTCTACGTGACTTTACCGAAATGACCAATAATATGAATCCCTGCAGTCACGAAAGCTTTAAATTGAAATCCAGTAATGTCTGTTAACCTTTGCACCCCACTTGAATCCATGCACAGTTTCTTACAGCACAGTGTTCGTACTGCTTGGCACAATACCCCTGTATCCTGTGAGACGATAAACATCGTGGTATGTGGGAGCATTGGTGGCGCTAGGAATTGGTTGTCCGTGTTTGTATGCATCACGGTTGAGCTGTGTGATGGTACAAGCAACCCAGAGGACCACTTCAATCATAAAACACATGCAATTGGAACAATTAATTTGGTGATGCTGCTTTGGCAGGGGTGCACATTGTATAACTCCGCATTCGTCCATAAGTGGCCGAAAAATAAAATATTGTATATAATAGGTGAAGTTTTTGGCAAAAGCCCTTCACAGCCACCAAGAGGCCAGACGGTGGATAATAGGGATTGGAGACTGCAATTTACACCATGAGGCCTGATGAGGATTAAACCTTCAAAAATGTATTTCTGATTACTGGTTTTTAAATTGGCATAGGAATAGTTACACTTGCAGCTATTGGGTAACAGACAAACCCTTACACAATAAAAACGTGTTTATAAATACACTTTTAAATTTACAATTATGTTGGTGACCATGTTCCAATTAAAATTAAACTGGTAATTTAATATTATTGAAAGACAATCTTAACTGGGCCAATGGTAAGGACAGTCTCCAATCCTTACTGTCCACTCTGCTGTGAAGGGCCATTGCCCAATTATATATTTTTATTTTAAGACCAGTGGCGTTAATGAACGTGAGTACTAACTGAAGAATGATTTAAATCTCGAAGAATTTATGACGAGATAAAGATTAAAAACTAGTTGGATCAATTGTGCCATGCTTTAAAGTATACGTGATGCTTTAGATGAGGATCCTGATACCAGAGGCAGATTAATAACCAGGGGGTGGGCCTAAAATGTTCAACAGTTTCATCGGGCCTTAGATTAATACAAAAAAATCATTAAATGCATTTTCTCTGATAAAATATCAATAAAAGAAAATGTTTCAGGGTCTGGAGGGGGGTGAGGGCATATGCCTGATCCACCACTGCCTGATCCTAGGTTTGTATTGGAGAAGCCACCCATAAACCAGGTTCTCAAGTGTACCGAGCTGTTGGGGTCAAGTCAGGTCTTAAATAACAGCACAGTGAAACTGGCTTTTTACTTCATGTGCCTTCATTCCAGCTCTGAATACACGGATTGCTTTTACTGCTACGAAACTACACATTTCTCCACAGCAGGGTGTATAATTGCAATCGGCCCTCGTGTGGTTAAGAGGTCACTTGGGAATACAGTATCAAGAGAAGTTATATGATATCTCCTCCTCTGCTAACAGTGGGGTGATGCATTGCTGCATGAGAGTTTTAAAAAAATGGTCACGTGGGAGGCTAACGGAATTTGCTCACGTCAACGACGAAAGAACGTTGCTGGCTCATTTCCTCTTCACTGGCCGATGGTGACTGAACAGTGCATGACTGGAGGGGGCGAAAACGTAGTTGGAGGAGGTGGTGGTTTTGGGGGAATGTTGCACTGTGACACGTGCAGTCACGCGCGTTCCGTGAGCGATGCACATGTTTGCTTGTGGGTGAGCAGCGTGTTGGGAGTTGTGTCCAAAATGACGTCGGCATTTTTAGGAAGTTGACGAGAACGAAGTGCGGCCAGAATGTTTTGTCTTACTCCAGCTACGATTGGGGATGTTATAAAAATCCTTGGTTCGGCAGTTTTAATCGAATGCTTTTGATCATCGTGCTTCGTGACTTTACGTTAATAGGCATGTGACGATGCACTTCCCTTTCCAGCGATTCAATGGATTTTCACGATTTGGTGGGAAGAGGGGTCACAGTTCAATTGAAGAATCCTTCATCTAATTATAATTATTTTTTATCTCGTTTGCATTATTTCTGTGGGTTTTTTTCGTGGCTTAAGCGTAGTTTTGTCCTCCATGACTCTAAATGTAACCTCACAGTGATGTAGCCTTGCGATAGTGCGTTTACCGCTTGTTTTAGAGGTCTCAAATTTCAGCTAAACTGGGTAATGCTGCAGGAGTATTAACAATAAAGCAATTCCTCCTTGACACTCGTCAACATTTCAGGAAATGCCACTTTTATACGTGAAGAAGGGCCATTGCCTGAAACGTTACCTATTAATGCTTTTATGTCTCCCTTTGAAGGCGACGTTATTGACGAGCGTGTTCAGTTTTTGTTTATTAATTGTGGTTGTGCACAAGTGGACGCTGAAGATCCCAATATTATTCAAAAGAGGAGGCCGTGCGCCGATGTCGCGGTCGAAAATTCGCCAAACATGAACAATCGCTCGCACCATTCTGCCCGTCGCGCGCGCGCCCGGAAGGTGCGATCGTAATGGGTCTGTGCATCGTCACGTGCCTAATCGTTTAACCGACGGTCCCGTCGCCTATTTCTTTTCCACGTGCTTCTTCACGATCTCCAGGTACTCGTTGACGTCGTCGGGTGACCCCACGGCGAAGGGCACGCGCTGGTGGATGGTCTCGGGCTGGACGTCCAGGATGCGCTGAGTGCCTGTGGTGGCGATGCCTCCCGCCTGCTCGATGACGAACGCCATCGGGTTGCACTCGTACAGGAGACGCAGCTACGCACACGGGGCAAGGCGGCGAAAGGGCGCAGGGGGAGGGTGGTGATGGGTCAGAACGGCAGTGCCACTGTGACCATATTGGGGCATCTGTTAAAAAGAGCTTCATAGCTCATCGGATTCCTCCAGTATAAATAAAGATTCAGATTCTGACATTAGGGCATTTCTCAATGTCCACCACAATGGCGCGGCTGAGGGCCATGGTGACGAGATGTTAACTACCTCGCCTGGTATGCAGGAGGTCATGGGTTCGATCCCGACCCTGAAGCCTGCTGTATATTTATAGTTTGAATGTCTCTCCCTGTGGCCGTGTGTATTTTTCTCCGGATCCTCCAGTTTTCCCCTCCACATTTAGAAGCATGCATTTAGAGTTTTAGGCTGCTAGAAATTTCCACGTGATAAGCCACTTCGTTGAGCTATCATTCGTGGCCAGGTCGCTTCTGAAAAAGAGCTACATAGCTCAGTGGGTCTTACCTGGTAAAATGAAAATAAATCTTGACTGAAAGCTTTCGTGACTGCAGGAATTCATATTCTTTGGGGTTTTCTGTAAAGTCACGTAGATAGGTTCAAATAAATTTAGTTTTATTTTCTTTGAACCTATCTGCGTGACTTTACCGAAAGACCCAAAGAATAAAAATGAAAATAGTTTAGTTAAAGTTAAATAATATTTGGTGGCACGGCAGTTCGATTTGGTTCCATGCTGCAGAAGTCTTCTTAAGATAATCGCAGAGGTGGCTGTGTGGTTCTGGGGGGTCAGAGAGCTGAGGCTGCTCCGCTGAGTTATGCTGGGATTTGAATCCGAGTTTCAGCCACTGCCTGCGACTAAACCAGGCTCTTAAGTGCAGCGAGTTGGTGGTCTCATCCCGGTCACCAAACGACTGCACGCGCAACAACAAAAACCCGCATCGGATGAGAAGATTTGTTTTCACTCAGTCTGGCTAAATTCTAGCTCTGAAGATTAAACAGCAGCGAATAGTTCTCAGCGCCAGGGAGTGTGAGAAAGTACAACCCCGGGGGGTGTGGAGGTAGAATTCAACCCGAGGAAACCATTCTGCAGGCTGTTGTCGAGCACGTGGGGCGAAGCGCTGGTCCGGTGAGACTTCAGATTGGACACTTCGTCTCATCACGTTTGGCAAATAGTTACACAAAAGATTGGAAGATAAAAATATATCATTGCGCGAAGTGGATGGGTGCGTACACGCTTATTCGAATTATTAATTTTCTTGGTGCAGTGTTTTGCCATTTATGGTAATGTGGAGGGGTAACTAGTCAAAAGTAACTACACAGTATGCACTCGAAGTACACCTAGCCTGGCACAAATGACAAAGTGATATCACCACCACTAAGCAGCAAAGGGCAGCTGTTGCAAGTTTACACAGATGAATACTTTTGGTCCGTTTAATCACCAACTTAATAACTTAAAGATATAGGCAACATAAATAAGAACAATACAAATAATAGAAATAATAATAGAAATAACATTTCTGATTTATAATTTTATTTTTATTGTTATTTCTATTGTTTTTATTGTTATTATTTATTTTTACCTACGTGACTTTACCGAAAAAACCTAAGAGTATGAATCCTTGCAGTCACGAAAGCTTCAAATCTAGAACATAAAAAACAAATATGTATTGTAGACAAATACCTAAGCTGAGTCGTGTTTAAAGCTGCGAATGAAAATAAAAGCATTTAAAGTTATGGTCAGGAGCATACACGGGGTGCCTCTGAGTCGTCAATCTTGTACTTTTCAATTCGATGTCACTGCAGTGATGTCACGAGAGTGCTCCTGACAAATAATGTTCTCATAGTTTAATTATATATATAAATATTTTCCTCTTTAATAAAACTTCAAACTCGCATTGTACAATAATAGGGTTGATCCTCCTTTTTTTCTGGCAACAAAACTGAAACCTTTTTACGAGGAATCATGTCTGCATTAACCACAATACGTGCGGTCAAAATGCAAACAAAAAACACACTCTGATAATATATGCATTGTCCTTGAAACTGAGTGGTCCACACCTGAGACAGCTTTCTTTAGAGCCTCGTCTCAATTGGTGCTAGACCAGATGACACCAAAAGGCGTACAGCTCAAAGACAATCCCACTATCAAAGTAATGAGGGATCGGGGTAAGCATCTACAAAATATAATATTGGCTACCCTATTATTATATTTTGGGACCCTATTATTATATTTTGGTACTGGCAAAGGAGGTCTAATGATCGCATTGTATAGCCCTGAAGAAAATATAGAATCTCGCGCAAAGTTCATCACTTGGCGACTACCGTAACGCGCGTACGTGTAACAATTCATCGTGGTGAGGATTACTCAGGAATTTGTTTTCCATTATAGCTCCGCGTCCCACGTACAGCCCGCATCTCGTGACAGCAGATGAGTGTGCGTAATGCTTTGACTGCGCGCCAAGTCAACAGGCTCCCTTGTGTTGTTGCCCTGTGCGTCGCACCTTTCCCTTGGGGCTCTTGGTGTTTGCCGGGTACATGAAGATGCCGCCGTACTTGATGGTCCGGTGAACGTCGGCCACCATGGACCCCACGTAGCGGGCGCCGTAGGGGGCACTGCCGTCCTGAGAGCGACAGCAGAGGCAGGGGGCTTCGTGAGGCGCGTCGCGTGGGTCCCGACACGATCCCTCCATCACGCGGTGGTTACTCTCCATATCCGTGGAGGCACTCGGGCAAAAAAAGGCGTCTTGCCAGCGCTTTACGCATGGGTGCCCTAATAAAACTCGCGAGAGACATTTGGTGTCATGAATTGTGTCAACAAAGCAATGTACCCGAGTCAATACAACGTGAAACTTATAAAATAAGTTATATAACCATTAAACATAATTTAGCAACGTCAGTGAATGACATGGTAAAAGCAGATGTAGTGGGTTGTGGAACTCCCTACCTGTGGAGAGCAGGCTCCCCACTCACGCTCACATCTTTAGATCCCCACTCAAAAACCCATCGTTTAAAAACATGGTTTTCTTTTCTTCTAAATCGTGTTGTTCTCTCTTTGGCTCTTATTCTGCCACCCGGCTCTCTCTTTAAATACATTTCTCATTTTTACTCACACAGCGACTTGGGACCTTTTTTTGTGACAGGTGCCTTATAAGTGCAAATTATGATTAGGTGCACGGAAAGAGGGGGGGGGGGTTAGTGAACGTTTAAATGTACCTAAACTATTCGGTCATCGGATGTTGGCGTTGGTGTCATCGAATGTTGGCGTTGGTATCAAGACTGCCAAAGGAATTCGATAGAGTAGCAGTGGGAAAACCATCTCCCCTACTGGGGGCCAGACAGGATATTCAAATGCCTTTGGCGACCACACAGCAGCTGACACCGAACTTTGATTGTGCTCGGACTGTGTCTGTCGACTGTGTGCTCGGAACTACCTGGATGACGAGACGCGACTGAGCACGCTGAGAGTTAGAAACGCTGTTTCCAGGTCAAAAAATATCACTCCTCCTCTCCTATTCGATCGGCGCGGCTAAGATGCTCGCAGTTACGGATAAATTATCGTCTGCAAGGCCGTTTCGAAGTGGTCGGCGTTGTGTGACCTTAGGCCGAGTGGAATGAAGTCACAGGACGGATATGGCCCATGAGCCATAGATTCTTCACCACTGGTGTCGAGCGAGAAGATCGTTGAGTGAGATCCATGACATGAATTTACAGAACCCGTCTTGTTGCTACATAGTCATGTATGTATGTTGAACTTCTTTCGCTCCATATGTAGCCAACCATGTTAATCGGAGGTGCGGGGGGAAGGACAACAAACTCAACACAAAAAGCAATTTTAAATAAATTCGTTGTCAATATAGAATTGAAAGTGCAGAGCTTCAGTGGCTTCCTAATATCGGAAGGAAGAACGTTCCAGACGGCCGCAGAAGCACATCTTAAAGCGCGCGATGCAGTGACCTTTATTCGATGACTCGCCAAAATCCGGAGTCCGCGTGATGGTTTATTCTCCTTGACGAGATCAGCAAGGTATCGTGGTTCATTTGTGGCAAGTAATTTGTGTGTAATGAGTGCGACCTTAAACTGTATTCGTTCAGCAACCGGAAGCCAATGCAGCTCAGCGAGCACAGGACGGACACGGTAGTAGTGTTTGATGCACGACAGTCAAACCAATATTTGTATTTCTTGAAAATACAATTTACTCAATAACAAATGCAGAACCAAATTCGATCTGATGGGTTTTTTTTTGTACAGCCTATGCGGACCGGGCCGAGCCCATTGACTCACTACACAGTGGAGAACCCATTGTCACCACAAGCAGCTGTCTTGGATTCAAACCAAGGATCCCAGCAGTCGTTGCCAGCTCAGTCATCTGACCTCAGAGCCACACAGCCATCTCGTGACGAGACACGCTCCTGCAGACAGACGGCTTATGTAACTTGTGTGAGCAATCGTCGCACGTGATCTCTCTGAGGCTTCCACACAATCGGCAAACAGCAGAAAGCGGCCACTGCAGCCAGGGACGGACGCTGTCTTGTTGATTATTTAATTACAGCTGCTGAGCACAGGACCAAAGTCTCAAAAACTCAGTTGCAAACAACAAACAGGACTGTTGAAAAATACCAATACAATATTTATGTATCCAGGAAAGCCACACTGAGTCGTATGGCTCTTCTTTAATTAGGGTCCTGAAATGCGGTTTCATTGATTTATTTGTAGACGTTTTTAGGCAATTAAACGACGAGTGTTTATTATTCAGGTGGGAGGAAACCGCAGGGCTCGGGGGAAATACCACGCGCGAGTGGGGGCAACCCCTATCCCCGTACGGATGGAAACGGATGGAGATTAAGTCCAATTGCCGTCCTGCCTACTCCTGGTGAGCCAGGGTATGGCAACCTCCTCGACACCCACGGGAATGGAGATTCACGACCGTCCGTGCGGTCTACGAACACCGTCGCCTGCGCAGTGCTCGATTGGCAGGCGTGCAGCCACGAGGTCTAATAGATACATCGCGAATATGCGTGCGTTGCATTGAGCAAGCTTATGAAGAAAAAGAGACGCGATGGGAGGGAACTCTGCAGTCCCAGCAGTGTGAGGGAAGAGGCGGAGGAATTGATGAGCGAAGTTTACTCGATGATTCCAATACCCCCTCGGTCGTAACAAGGAGGCAACATACGGCCGGTCACACCATTGGCCAGAAAAAAAATGTGAATTCTGCGTAATCTAACGTAGTAAGCTCTTGGTGCTAAAGGCCGTGCTCTTTTGTGTTTGTTTGGTTGTTTGTAGTCGGAGTTGTAGTGAGATAGCTTGGCCAATATCAGCCAACAGTGGGTGGTGATGGGGGTCACAGGGTCAATGTGAATTATTCAAGCAAGTTGTGAAACCTCTCGCTGGAGTGAAGAGGCCACACTTGTCAACAATATTTCCTTAACTCCACTCCATGCAGACGTTCATCCACAAGAGAATGATGACAGTTTGTTATTTCCCAATAGGCTGCACGTTGGGGGTAGCGGTGGTGGCGGTGGCGCAGATATTAGTGCTATGCACGATATAACATCACCCGAGTTCAATTCCCGACCACTGCTGCCGGCATGAACCCAATAACCTGAGTTTGACTCCCGGGCAAAGCTGACGTGAGTGGAGGGTGATAGCGGAACTGGTCCTGGACTCCTGCCTTCGCCTCACCTTCACGAACCGAAACTCACCAGTGTGGTGAGATATATAAGAATATGTAGTACTCTTGCTGGCTATAAACAGCTGTGTTAAGATGTTAAAACACAAAACAGAATCCTTTTTTAAGAAATCCTGTCTGCATTAACCACACGTACTTGTGGTGAACATGCAAATAAACAAACATACTCTGGTAGTATATGCATTGCCTTTGAAAGTGATTGGTCCACACCAGAGACAGCTTTCTTTTGAGCCTAGTTTATTTTGAGCCTTAGTCAAAATTAGGTTTTATCCTGTCTGCATTAACCACAAGCACGTGTGGTTAATGCAGACAGGATTCCTTGAAAATGGATTTTAGTTGGTGTTTTAACATCTTAACACAGCTGTTTTATGGCCAGCGAGGGTAAAACCTATTGTTATATTCTGACACTGGCAAGAACTGCGACATATTGTGGTGAGTTGTGGTCAAACAACCAACACGGCCTCGGGGTGCCTTGCTCAAGCAGTGGATTAACGAAGGGCTGTAAGTCGTTGATTGTTATTTGGTGGTTGATTATCCGATACAGGGGATGCATTTAAAAACTCTGTCCGAGTCCAGCACGCGGAAAATATTTCCGTACCCGGCATATCGCATCCAGTATACTGTCCGTCTTTTGTCTGGCTGTGGTTACAAGTCACGCGCCTTCTGCAGTCTGACAGTGACATTAAGCTCGGGTTGTTGATGCACAGTGCACGCATTAGAAGTGGCTGCTGTGATCAAACCTGTCCGGTGGGTGGGGTACGTTCCGAGTGAAACCGCAGGCGTGTTCCATAACTCACCTCTGGGAATTTCTTCTTTTGAATGTACTCGGTCAACGCTGGGTCAAAGTACTTGGCGTAGCCCTCGTTGAGGCTGAAGATTTTGCCTTTCTTCTTGATCTTCACGTTTCTCTCCACCAAAATGAATTCTCCGATGGCCTAAATGTGGTCATAGTGGAGAAAGGAATCGGGGAAACAACAACACTGGCTATTTTATTTTCATTGCTTAAAGATGGTTTAACGACACATTTACATATTTACGCGATCTAACCCAAAAAAAACTCCATTATGGATTAATTGAAATCGATAACATACGTCGGTTACTATGTGTGTATTCTACAGCCTGAAATTCCGCCTATGGCCTGCATTATTGTCGTGCTCTGCTGGGCATCAACAACCAATAGTGAGCCAGGTCCACACCGCCGATGAGCACAGTTGGCTACGTACGGCGCGAACAAAGTTCAACATAATACTGCCCATAGACTAACAATACCCATAGACTCAGCACTGCCCATAGACTAACAATACCCATAGACTCAGCACTGCCCATAGACTAACAATACCCATAGACTCAGCACTGCCCATAGACTAACAATACCCATAGACTCAGCACTGCCCATAGACTAACAATATCCATAGACTCAGCACTGCACATAGACTAACAATACCCATAGACTCAGCACTGCCCATAGACTAACAATATCCATAGACTCAGCACTGCACATAGACTAACAATATCCATAGACTCAGCACTGCCCATAGACTAACAATATCCATAGACTTAGCACTGCCCATAGACTAACAATACCCATAGACTCAGCACTGCCCATAGACTAACAATATCCATAGACTCAGCACTGCACATAGACTAACAATACCCATAGACTCAGCACTGCCCATAGACTAACAATACCCATAGACTCAGCACTGCACATAGACTAACAATACCCATAGACTCAGCACTGCACATAGACTAACAATACCCATAGACTCAGCACTGCACATAGACTAACAATACCCATAGACTCAGCACTGCACATAGACTAACAATACCCATAGACTCAGCACTGCCCATAGACTAACAATATCCATAGACTCAGCACTGCACATAGACTAACAATACCCATAGACTCAGCACTGCCCATAGACTAACAATACCCATAGACTCAGCACTGTGCCCCATAGACTAACAACCCATAGACTCAGCACTGCCCCATATACTAACAATACCCATAGACTCAGCACTGCACATAGACTAACAATACCCATAGACTCAGCACTGCACATAGACTAACAATACCCACAGACTCAGCACTGCCCATAGACTAACAATACCCATAGACTCAGCACTGCCCATAGACTAACAATACCCACAGACTCAGCACTGCCCATAGACTAACAATACCCATAGACTCAGCACTGCCCATAGACTAACAATACCCATAGACTCAGCACTGCCCATAGACTAACAATACCCATAGACTCAGCACTGCCCATAGACTAACAATACCCACAGACTCAGCACTGCCCATAGACTCAACACTGCACCTCCGATTAGCACAGTTGGCTACGTATGGTGGTGCGAAAGAAACGCAACCTACATACTCTTGCAACTAAGACTATACTGGTCTCTTTAGATCTAGCCTGGTTAAATCAAATGACATAAATTGCTACGATTTAAACAATTAATAAAAACGTACAGTCTATATTTGTGTTCACGATGTAATTGTATCACGTGTAGGCCAACAACAACAACCCTTCCCTGAATAATGGCAACTGCCCAACAGGTCAAGGGGCAATGTATGTTTGTCTGTTATGAGTCAGCGTGACCTCCACACACACACACGAGTGTGTCATTTGTGGTGGTGCGCAAGGGAAAATACGCAAAACCACTGCACATGCGTGGAGTGTTAATTATACAGGAGCATAGCTATCAACCCACACGGTTTACCCGTAGTCATGTACAGGGAAATTGAGTTTTCAGGTCCATACGGCGTACGGCCGTTTCAATACGGGCAACATTTTTGCTGTCTATTTGTTTGTGTTTCTCTCTTGCGATGGGACTTTGTAGGATGAACGTTGAGATGTATAAGGGGCACGGGGTGACCAATAAGGTTTGAATTGGTCTGTAATAAGGTAGGGCACTGATAAGGAGTTGACAGGTATGCAAGAGATCAGTGAGCAAAGCTGATAGGTTCCCATGGGTGTTCCAGGCATTGTAACAACAGAGGACACAATACGATGTACAATACAAAGTATCGAGCATTTCAGGGCACCTTTACAAAATATCCTAAAAAACCATTGCCAAATAAATCGTACAACTATTACAAATAATCTATGCCTCGAGTTTCCTAGCTGGCTGCTGACTGGGCTCCTCTCTACCCCAACGATAACTCTTGTTGTTGTTGTTGTTAGTGGCTGCTGCGGGACCTTTCCACAAACACTAGCTGGGTGAACTGACATTAAGTTAAACCGAAACGTCGGAAGAAGTTCAGAAGACATTTAATAAAAATACAAGGTGGGACTAACGAATACAGGAGACTGACCACGGTTAATTAAAAATATCTCTAACTTTTCAGTTTGTGCTTCTGTTAATGTAATTCTTTCACCAGAATATTCCCTAAATCCTCGTGAATATACTGTACAATTTAAACCCTCACGTGACATTTCATCGTGCCGTTTTATGATGTATTACACAAAAAGCAGATAATTTTCGTGCTTCCGAGAACAAGAAGAGTGTGAGAAGGGCATGGAAATGGTTGTTGTAGCGTTCTGACCCCGTGCCCCTACTGGACGTCGGTGAAAAGAGCTTTATAGCTCATCGGATTCCTCCAGGTAGATATAAAAAAGAAATTCTGACAGCTGTCTCTCATTTTTTTTCATTGAAGAGCAACTATTGGTTCTCCACTCGTTGAGCAAAACAAAAACAATTTTAGCGAACTAAATTCATGCTCGACGATGAGACCAAGGCCTCGCTTGACCTGTTTCTCCCAATGGGACCACACCAGGAGGTTGGCAACCAAAAAATAAGAAGACCCATTTTTTCGAATTCGGTCAAAAAGCTCAATATTTCAAGAGCCGCAATGCAACGTGAATACGAGACGGTGGCCCTTGATAAAAAAAAATAACATCACGAAGCAGCCCTTTAAAGAGCCGCATGCGGTTCCGGAGCCGCCGGTTGCCCACCCCGGGGCCAGACGGATCGAGCCATCCACGGCCCCCGACCACGCACCGGATCGAGCATGAAGAAGTTGAGTCCCTGGCCCGTGGTGAGGGCCACGAGGGTGGCGCTGCCGTACAGGGCGTACCCGGCCGCCACAATGTTGCGGCCGGGCTGCAGGGCGTCCTTCTCAGAGACGGCGACGCCCTCCTCCGACACCTGCACACGAAGGCATCAACAAAGATCCCCCGTATAGCCGTTAACAGACTGTTGGGGCAAATGCTGTCTAGCGAGTAGCAGCACCTATGGAGGCTGGCACGGAAACACGAGGGTGGGTGGACAGCAACCACGCCCGGCCGCCTTTGTCTCCCCAGTGGCAATGTATACTACACACCGCACGAGGTGCTCATTTGAGGCTGAGCCGACTTAGGGGAGGCCCAGGACCAGTTCAGATAATCGGGTCCCCGCTCCCCAAAATGGGCACGAACACAACAGCAGCAGTGGCGGTGGTGGAAGCAACATCAGCAGCAGCTGTGAATTAAGGGCTCTCATCGGGGTTATAAGGGAGTGTTTGTGTACAGGTCATTTCATACCAAATCAATCAAGAATATCCTTCAGCAAACCCCTATGACATTTCGTGCGACAGCTTTGTCGTTGACAAAGAAAGATACCACACACATTGCAGGTCAATCCGACATTCCATTCCCGAGATATAGATAATTGAAGTTGGACCCAACAAGGACATTTGACGATCTAGCAGGTACTGGGTTGAAACTCCCTCATTGTGTCGGGGTATAAAAGTGAGGTTGGCGAGTCGAGTGACTTTCTTGTATGAGGACATAGGCAGGTTTAGGAACGATTCCATGTACGTATTTATGGAGGGTTCTGTATCAGTTTACTGCGTTTGACACTTGGGGCGATATGTTACCCGCAACGCCTGGTATGCAGGAGAGCGCGGGTTCAACCCTGACGCCTGCTGCTGTATATTTGGAGTTTTACTGGTAGGAACCCACTGGTTCCACCAGCCCACAGGGGATTATTGTGTCCGTCCGTCGTGCAGGAAGGGCTGGATGGGGAGGGAGGGGCTGGGTGGGGAGGGTGGGGAGGGGCTGGGTGGGGAGGGTGGGGCTGGGTGGGGAGGGTGGGAAGGGGCTGAATGGGGAGGGTGGGGTTGGGTGGGGCTGGGTGGGGAGGGGCTGGTCACCCCGTGGTTCCCTTATAAAACTCAACGTTTAACCTACTCACGCTGGCTTGTGCCCGCCCTCACAGTCGGGAATATTTGCGGAATACACCACGCCGCCGTTGACCCTGGCCATTGACCGAGCAACCCAACGTTCCTACCAGCTCCCTCCGCAGGAATGTGTTCGCGTCTCTCTCCCCGTGGTCGCGTGGATTTTTCTCCGGGTCCTTCACTTTTTCCCTCCACATTTAGAATCATACGTTGAGAGTATTTGGCTGCGATAAATGTCCACGTGATGAGCCACTTTGCTGAACTATTAGTCGTGGCCAAGTCGCTTCTGAAAAAGAGCTATGTAGTTGTGGTAAAATAAAATCAAAAGTTAAAATAGCAATGGACGCTTGCAAAGTTGTCGAATGAAAATGTTGATGGCTTTGGGTCTATCTAGAATTTTTTGGGGTTATTTGTCGACTTTCCGCACTAATGAGTTGGTAACACTGCTCCACTAGATGACAATTTTCCACGTCTGCTACGTGTGAACAACGATGGGCTTGGGTCTACAAAGCAGGCCTCTTGCCAAACGTTGGCACACCATTCATGGGATTGCGTTTCAACGCGCCCCAGATTGTTGTGTAACGCGTCCATTGGCTGCTTTGAAAGAGAAAATAAAAATCCCCCACGACATTTAAAGTGGCTTCTCTTGCAACATTAACAATTGTGAAATTGTGGCATTGATATTTTTTATCTAAATCTTTACTAGATGCACGTGTGACTAACCACTGTCCTCTAGTGGCCCACTGCAGGCCTGCATGCAACGTTCAGCACACTAAACGTGAACAAAAATGAATCTTTAATAATATAATTCAGAGATATCTCCCAGGCCATGTTGACCATGGGGTTGTTTGACCTGGTCAGTGCGGCTTTAGAGAAGGGGGTGACCCAGTATCAGCACGCACATCACTCGCCACTGATGTTACGATGATAATACATTCAATTGTCACTCGCTGCGCATTGTTCGCTCGCTCACGAAGAGAGAAAACGACTCACAGGCGCGAGGAAACCACAGACAAGCGGGGAAGGCAGTGAGATGACACAATCAACATTTACCCAGGCTCTGCGGCCTTAGCATATTAAGATGTTTTCAGCCCACCCGGAGGAAACCCACGCGTACGAGGAGGAAACGCTATCTCGTGTAGATGGAACGGATGGTGATCAGTCCACATTTTCCTGGACTGCAAAACCAGAATATGGCACCTCTACACCCATGGGGGGTTCACAACATTTGTGCGACTCCACCAACCCTCGTTGCCTTAATTAATTAAAGCCCTCAAACGCCAAGCGATTGGCTTTGGGCTCTTGGCCAGGGATCGAACTTTGGGTATTGGGTTCATGGCGCAGCGCATCACCAATTATGCAACAGAACCACCCCAATATGCACTGTACGGGAAAAGTGATGAATAGCGAGTCAAAGCAGAGAGGTCCTCTTGAAACTTTAACTTCACTGGGATCCATCACTGATCCAGGGTTGCCATCTGCTGGACGCAGCCGTGCTAAACTGCCTTTAGAATTAAACGTTCTATATGACGCAGTTCCTGCTTTTTGACAGTGGTGTACAAACACAGATACCATCTCCGGCATCTGATCTGTGTGCCGTGAAGAAAGCCCATTGCCTAAAACGTCGCTTCTTTTACATGTATATTTATTTTTCGAAGGCAATGTTATTGACGAATGTGTCTAGTTTTTTTTTAATTGCCGTTGCGTGCTATGCGAGACACTAACAGTGGATTCTCTCCTCCGTCTGTCCCTGACTAGTTACACGAATTGCGTAAAAATTTTGTAAAAAAAAAAAGGTAACTTTAACGGAACAATTAAAGGAATGGGAATAGAAATCAGAATAAGAGTAAAACGGTGGATACTATTTTCGTCGCAGTGTTATTGACAAATATCGCATCGTATTGAGCTCATCATGAATAATAATCCCATCGTTCGCTGGTTTCTTCTCTGTCAGAATGGAACCCTTAATCGGACAACTGTGACTGACTTACAGACGGGGAAATGGAGTTTCTTGCTGTTATAATCAGGCTTATTTACCCAGGATAGCCGCTTTGAGTTTTGCATTTTCAAATTTTCGCAGAAGGGGGCGATTGCTGTGTACAGGACAGTAACTGCTCGTGTTTCTTCTTCTGTCCGATTGCTGATGATGCAGATGCAGAGCAGCAGCTACAATTTCACATTCACATGGTTATCAAGCCAGATAACCGTGTCAGGAGCAACGGAGTGTATCGCTGCGATGTCTCCTTCGTATGTGTGGCTCGGGCATTGCGTCATTGTACGTTGCATGGTCTGTTGGGGATAACCACAGTCGCACACTGGATAATTTATAATTTTCCATTTGCACATCAGGCATACGCATAAGCCACGGTGTGTGCAGTGGATGGGTTTAGGATGGACTATGAGCTTTGTGAAAGATCAAACCCAGAGATCTTCTGTGTTGGATCTGTCACAAGGTGTTTGTTTGTTTGTTTTTTTGACGCGGTCGATGCATTCCTGAAAAGTGCCGGGTTGAAGCGAAAACCGCATTAAGCGAGGAATTACTCTTACTGAATCTCATGTACACTATAAAATCAGCCTGCAGTCATCCTATATGGGGACAAATAACTGAGATGGGGGTACACCGCTGCGTTCTGTATCATTCCGCATCCTGTATCGAACCCGCTCAGCCACACAGCTCAAAAAAGTTCACCGTCAACTGCTCAGAAACTGCTTTGTAACGGTGCACGTTATAAGGGTAAACGTCTTCCGCGTTGTGCGAACAGTGTTCTTGAATGGAATAACCGCATTATAGCGAAAACGCGTTGTGTGAACGCACGTTATAGGGAGGACGACTCACTGCACTGTATAATCCCAATTCATTAATTTGCGAGTTTTTCAAATTTGGTAACTAAGCCCAAAATTGTGTCTACTCTTGCGAATGACCTCACGGGATCTTTAAGAGCCGTTGCGAAGCAGATGGCGTGGAGTATTCTACGGCTAATGCACGCGCAGCGATAACCAGGGCGGCCGCTGGATTCGAACCATGAGGCCGCTGCAACAAGTTGGGAACGTGCCATGGCCGGGCCATGTCACCGCCCTTTGCTGTGCAGTGGAAATAAAAGAAAAACTACAATTGGGTGGCATCATGAATCCAGTAGTGATACGATTACTTTTGGTTTCACAAACTCAAAAAAATAAACTTCCCTTCGTTGATCACTCACTAAAGTCTTGCAAATAAGACAGTCATATACAGTGGTAACCGCAGAAAATTAGGAGCAGCAATTCGAAAATTATTGGGGAGGGGGGGTTTCTCAACACAGTAGCACTTAGTCGCGAGTGATCACACCTTCTTGTAGATGGCGAAAATGGTCCCGATGGACTCAAGGCAGTCGATGTTGGAGGAGCCATCAAGAGGGTCAAAGCAGACGACGTACTTGCCCTAGAGTTCAAGGCAGACAGAGCCACCTGGAATTAGGCCCCATCAATACCAGTTCACAAAACGGGACTTTATTGTGCAAAACGGCAAAACTGTGTCAGGATTTCCCAAAACCCGCACCTGTCAACCCACCACAGTTGGCTTATATCTTTACAATTTTTACAAATGTATCTTTGGAAAAAAACAATGTAGTTCCACACCAAACATGCCTGATGATTGCTAAACAACAGTCCATCATCATACAGTCAGCACTGATTCAAATTAAAGCGCTGATCTCTCTGTCCCGAATAGCCCTAACCCGGCGAACCGAGTTCCATTCCATGCTCACGACCAATATGCATCAGTGGCGAATATTTGCACCTTTCCTGGGCCTCCCTAAGATCTGCTCAGCCTTAAATAATCATCTGTTGCTGTGTGTAAACATCCCCACTGTGGAGACAAAGGTGGCTGGGCGTAGTGTTGGCCACCCACCCTGGCATGTACCTTGCCCACCTTAATATGTGCTCGCTCTCAGCATTTGCCCCAATCGTCTGTTAAGGCTACAGTATATGGGGGGTCGTTGTCTGTGTAACATGACATGGAGCCAGGTCTGCTTAAAATAGAGATCTGTGTCCCACATGACCTAAAGAGCCAGTTTAAATTAAGACGAAACCATACGTGTGTTCCAAGCCCCATGCGAGAGCAGTCTTAATTTGAATCCATGCTCACTGTGTGACATTTACAATTGTGTATAAATCATCAGGCTTGTGTTGCATGTCACGATCCAAGAATCTGTTATTCCACTGGTTTTAACACAACGTTTGAACCAAAAGTGGCAAGACGACGAATTTCTGGTGGCAGTGCCAATTATGGCGCCTGTTGCGAATGCCGACCACGCGTGTCTGTGGCTGGACTACCGAGGGCTTCTGTGTGGACGTGGGGGGCCTCGTTGTTGTACCGTCTCCCCCACCCCTTACCTGCTTCTCGGGCTCCACGATGATGGCCTTCTCGTTCTCCTCGGAGACCAGCACGCACGTGGAGAAGGAGGCCTTGAGCATGTTGATGACCAGGTCGTTGGACAAAACGTCGAGTTTCTTCACCTCGTCACCGGTGACGTTGATGTTGCCTGCGATGCCATACCTGAAGGGTGGAGGCGGTCATCGCCTGGTCAAGCGTGACTCATATCGGATCGTCACTGACCGTTACGTTCAGTTATAGATACAGCTGCTCAACCCGAGCTGTTCACACTTTGATACTTACATTGCCTTTGTAGTGTTCGCTTTTTGGTGTTCTCTGGTCTAACACTGGTGAGACAATGCCATGAAGAAGGTTATAGTAGTAGGGTTTTTACCCTTTCAACTGGTACAAAAACTGACACCTTTATACAAGGCATCATGTTTGCAATAACCACAACACAAGCAGTCAAAATGCAAACAAAAACAACGATGATAATGATATGCACTGTCCTTGAAGTTGATTGATCCACACCCGAGACAGCTTTTCTTAGAGCCTAGTCTCCATTGGTGTTGGACCAGATGACGCCAAAAGGCGTACAACTCAAAAACAGCGCACTATCAGAGTATTGAGAGCTCGGGGTAAGCATTTACACTATGAGATCTCCTTTACCAGTTGAAAGGGTAAAAACCTACTACTATATTTTGTCACTGGTAAAGAAGGTCTCATAGTATGAAGAAGGCTGTCTGTGGTGTTGGCCAATCTGTTTCAAAGGCAATGCTAACATTATCAGAGCACGTTTGTTTTTGCATGCTTTTCCACAGGTACGTGGTTAATGCAAACTTGATGCAATAGGCATCTAGTTTGTGTTTGAACATTTTAACACCTGATTTGAAGCTTTCGTGACTGCAGGAATCCATACTCTGTGGATTTTATTTTATACCTCCGTCACTTTACCAAAAGAACCAAAGAGTATTTTAAGACCTCCTGTTAAAATTATTTATTTGCTTAACTTGGCTACAGTCCATTCCTGAGAATGAAATATACCAACTTGACTGCCGTGACATGAACATTTCTGTACAGTGGGGTCCAGAGAGAACGTGTTCGGGCAAGGCAATGACTTGACGGGGTCTTGGAAGTAGCTGTGATGTCCCTTTCCACGAAGCTTTTGCTAACACGAGGTGATGGACTAAGTTTAGAAAGTTCCGAATAATCACTTTGCCTCACTACATGATGCCAAAAGCACAGCAGGAAAAAAAGACGAAACAATATTTTTTTAAATAACTTTTTTGCACGTTATTTGAAACATAGCTGGCCCCAAATAATTTCTGTTTATCACCACAGGTCTCTCAGAGAAGTCGAAAGCTAATGTTTTTTTGTTTCGACTCACGTGACCTATGTTTTCACAAAATCTCAGGCCACATGCCTTCCCATGAGCCAAATGTTAGCGTTAATGCATCAATATTTCAGCATTCTTATCTAATTGCAACCACAGACTTCGTGAGATTCTGAGGGCTTCATTTTGAGACTCCCTGATACAGCACAACGTGAAGTTTACTTGTTTGATTTGCTAAATCAAAGCTTTGATATGGCTCGGTGGGTTCGTTGGACTTGATCCTCATCAAAGTTGTGAGTTTTCACTGCTGAGATCCCGGATTCAAATCTTGACATCTACCTTCTGAGTTGGTGTTCTCAGCCTGGTCATTACGAAATGCACAAAAAATTCATTCCTAAATTTGGTTTTACATTTTAAATAAATTCCAGCAATGACAATTAATAAACATGTTTTGATTGTCACACTAATTATATATTTTTTCAAGGCATATAACAGATGTGTGGATGAAGAAAGGTCAAAGTATTTACGTGATTCCATCTTCCTGGGCATTACAGCAATTGCTGATCACAATAACTTACGGTGAGAGTTGCATATTATGATTTCTTCATTTCACGATGAAATGCGGATTGCACGTGTGGAAAAGTGCACGCGAAAATACACGTAATATAACTTGGGATAAAAAAAGGCAATAAACAGCAAAGCAAAGCTTTATGCACAATGCATCGCATGTGTTTATTTGGCTGTTATATATGTCACAGCCGGAGGACACGAGACACGCCTCTCGACCCCGGATATTCTGGGAGCATCGTGACCGGAATGTCTGGCTTGCACAGACAGCTGTCTGTTCGGTGTCTCTCCGTTCGTAGTCGGTGGCGTCGCTATCGTGCGTTCAGGCGGTGCTATTTGCACTGGTGGCCCCCGACTGGAGGGGCCCATGTCAGTAATATGTAGGTTGAACTTCTTTAGCACCGTACGTAGCCAGCCGTGCTAGTTGGGGGCCCCAGTTCATCCTTTGCACCAGGGCCCATGCCAACGACGTTTCACCACTGCATCAAGTAGCTTGGCAGTGCCATCAGCAAATGCTGTGGCTAGTGGTTACGCATGAGTCGCCTTTCTCTTAAACGCACGCAAACTTAGCCTTGTAGTCTTTACACAAGCTCACAATGAGCCGGTCAGTGTCTTTGTTATACTTATTATCAAAACATGTTCGTGTCTCCCTGCCGAATGAGCAATGAAATGGCATTCATCTCAGTCCGTATTGTAATTGTATTCCACTACTAATTATATTTGAGCAACTTGATATGCATTGCTGACGCTATTTCTTCCTAAATCAAACGTTTATTTCTTATTTCATTTTACCAGGCAATGACCACTGAGCTATGTAGCTTTTTTTCAGAAGCGACCTGGCCACAAATGATAGCTCAACGAAGTGGCTTATCATGTGGACATTTATAGCGGCCAAGTACTCTGAACGCATGTTGATTCTAAATTTGGAGAAAAATCCACGCGACCACTGGGAGAGAGACGCGCAAACTCCGAATATACAACAGGCGTCAGGGTCGGGATCGAACCCACGACCTCCTGCATATCTGGTGAGGTAGGCGCGTTTAGCAAAACATCAGGGACGTTCTTTGTTGAAGGTTAAGGAGATTCAATGACAGGGGACAAAAAAAGGTTCAAGGTTGCTTATTTTAAAACAGGGATTCCCAAACTGTAGTCCTCATGACCCACCACCCAGCCCCTTTCCACACTTACCAATCTTTTCCATTTGAATACAAATGAAGTCGTACACACTGCACGCTCATTATTATTGCAAATAAAGTTCCACCCGATGCAAAAAGGGCTGGTTCAAATTAAGATAACTACACAGCACATTATGTGGAGAAAACATACGTAAATACACATACACACAAGAGTTCTATCTTCATCTTGATTTGAAGCTTTCGTGACTGCAGGAATCCACTCTTTGGTTCTTTCGGTAAAGTCACGTAGGTAGAAAAAGAATCATAGATCACGACGTTTCGATCGCCACACAATGCATACTGGTGAAATTTGGAAATGAGCACATTAGTAGGAAACGAAGATTTATATTTGGGAAACCCTGGTTTGAACAAAGGCTACTGGGAAACAACAGAAATGTTTAGCTGACAATACTTTCTGCACCAACTTGCCCAGTAAACACGCAACTTTAGGTCAACGTTGGCATGTGGTTGGAACCGTTGGACCAACGTTGGACCCAACGTTCCATGTTTATTGCGTTAACCTGTGCAAAGTCACCACAGCAGCAATGCATCGACATTAAGTAAGAACAACTGCATATGGTACTATTTGGTTTGCAAACAAATATATTTTGCTTTCGTGTGACTGTAAGATTTCTTTAATAATATAGTAAGAATTACACGATGAAGATTATTTTTGCGGTGTGAGTTTAATGAACATCAATGAGTATAATAGCAGAAAAGTTAAAAGTGTTTTGCACCAACTATGGCATTGGTGAAGCTAATTTCCATCAGCATTCCTGAGCCAGCGATGGAAATTCCACATTCCAATGACGAGGGAGAGTCAGAAGGACAGCATCTGTTAATTTCAAAATAAGTGGTACTCATATTATTACATGAGAGGGATTTTGTGAAATAAGCCTCTTGATAAATAATGTCACTTTAGCCATAAAAGCCCGAATCTCGAATTTATTTTTCAAGAGGAACTGTATTGCAATGCCCAGCCACCTCCATGAATGAATATTCGGTGTTTGCGGAAACGACTGAACATCTGTGAACCTACTGGACATCTGTGAAAGAGAGCTACAAAACTCATCGGATCCCTCCAATCTAAATAAGGATTCTGATTCCGAACTATTTTCCAGACTCGGAGCAAGGTTGACCCTTCGAGAGTAACATTTCCACAGTGCGTAAGCATGAGCGCGGCGCGTGGTGCGAACGAAGCGTGTCGCGGAACTCACAGGTGAGCGAGGCCGGCTTTGCGCACGGCCGAGGTGATGGCCTTGATGGAGGTGAGCAGAGCGGTGAGCAGCTGGTTGAGCTCCCCGGTCCCCTTCGCCTTGCGGCCCTCCTCCAGCACAAACCGGGTGAGCGTCTCCACATTGGTGTCGAACGCGGTCTGGTCCGACATCTTTAACGCGTCTATTTGCACGCGCCGGAACTAAAGAGCGCGCAGGTTTGGCTTCCTTCTCACGCGATGAAGATGCCCGGGGCCCTGTGCAGTGCAGCGGACCCACTCGGCGGACCCACTCGGCGGACTGCTGCAGCACTGCGCCGGTTTCGTGTGTCCAGCTAACTTTGGGTTCCCCCTGCCCCCTGCAACTTAAAGCCCGGGACACGTTCGCCGGTGTCCGATTTCTCTGCGACACTGGGCATAGTGCCAGATCTGCACCCGTCGTGATGTCACGTAGGGACATGCATCTCTTGGCAACCGGAGACGAGCCACACCTCGAGGGAGTTTTTGTTTCTTGCACGAGGTTAACCTTTCAGCTGAAGCAGCTATTGGATTTGGCAATGGTATAAATGTGTTAAAGTGTGTCAATGCGGAGGTGGCTAGGTTGTTTTTAGGGGGACAATGTCGTGTCCAAGCACTGTATTGACACCGCAAAAATCCTGGGTTCTAATCCAGTGTTTGCACCACGTGATTAAACAGGTTTTCAAATACTGGCATAAAGAGTTGGTCTCCGCCCAGTCACCATTGAAATCCGCCCCAAAGCATGACCATTAAATTTGCTTTTATATGCAGTATATTTCAGCTCCGCAAAAAAATAATGTTTGCTCAACATGTCCACAAATACTCCCCTGCATAGCATACACAAGGTGTGTCCCCTCGTAGAGATAAAAAGGGCGACTGAAGTTTAATTCAGAAATCTGTTGCATTTTCTTCTAGAGCCATCTTCAACACATGGCGGTGCACTGGTAGCTGGGAGAATTCAGAATTAAAGTATCAATATCGAGTGGCATGACCCCAATGGCGCAATTGGAAAATAACTTGCGAGGAAGAAAAGTACCACTGTATCACGACGGTTTTAAAACCATCCTTCACCAACGACCCTTGAGTACCATGGAGAGGTCGAGTATTGCACGCATCAGCATATATGAGAATATTTAAGGAGTGCAGCAGCTAAATATAGCATGAGGAATTGCTGTGCCTACGTGTCTGGCAAGGTTGATAAAGGCCAACATTCCAGGCAGGCGCATTTAGCAAAACCATGGTCACGTGAAAGCCTATTTTGAGAAAAAAACTATTTGGAGAGCTCACATTTTGTATGATATATGTAATTAGTCTGTTTATTATAATCAAAACATCTTAGCGTCTCGCTGCTCTAACCTAGTGATCTCACTTTGATTCGTGGCCACCAACATCGGTGGAATTATAATATCCGAATATATATCTGAACCGATCCTGGGCATTCTTTTAAACACGCCACACTCACTAGCATGATGATGTACGTGGGGATGATGTCACGCAGCGGTGGATTGATAAAAGACTGTAAATTATGTATTTGCATTGAAAGGCAACCACAGATGAATGACCACTGAGGTATACATCTAACAATTGATAATTGGTTTTTTACCCTTCTATCTGGCAACAAAACTGACACCTTTTTTACAAGGAGTCATGTTTACATAGACCACAATACCTGCAGTCATAATGCAAACAAAAAACATAACTCTGATAATGTGCACTGTCCTTGAAGTTGATTGGTCCACACCCGAGACAGCTTTACTTAGAGCCTAGTCTCACATGGGTTGGACCAGATGACGCCAAAAGGCGCACAACTCAAAGACAATGCACCATCAGGGTATGAGAGCTTGGGGTGAATAAAACCTGCGTTTTCAGGTTGTGTATCAGACAAACGTATGTAACAGTAGGACACAAATTATTTCTAATTTAAACTGCTAATAATGTATAGTTTGGGGAATTAAGCTGAAAGTTGAACACAGGAAAAATGAAGCAACCACTTTTGTTCGTGTTTTTTTTTATTTGAAACAATATTCTTCATGATTAAATTTGCTAATATTTTAATGCACAGTAGGCAGATTCGCAAAATGTAACCGGTGACTTGCAAGCTAAAGTGACCATCAAGTGATTTGTTTGATAGCAGCCATTAACAACACCCTCGTCAAAAAGCAAATGAAAGGCACACATCCAACAGTTGATCTTTTTTATCTAATGAGAATCAATAGTTCTTATACTTTACTGCTTCTTACAAAAGAATTGTAATAAACTGTGCATTCATGCCGAGCGATTGACACAAAAGCAGCCGTGGCGTTAAGTCCTTTCTCTCACCGCTCCCTGTTAGGTCCTCAGCAATCACAGCTGTCGAGAGGAGACATTTAAAAGCCAGCAGGGTTTGGCGGAGCACGTAAAGTTCATAGCGTTAAACGGATTAAAAATACCATTCTGTAAAACACTGATTGCCGACAGAAAGGACTGCGGGTAAACCAGTGCAGCGAGTATCAAAAGCAAGCGCGTTAATACCTTCACATGTGAACCAGCCGGACACTCTTAAAACTTCCCGGTCACAAATGCTCCTGCAGGAAGTGGAGGAGAGTGGCTTCGTAATGCTCGGCAGACTCGGCTGAACGGATGCTATGCCTCTCGTTGGGGTAGATCTGAAAACAAGGCCAATTCCAAAGGTAAAATGCAATCGCGCACGCAAAGACGAAACAATATCGACGCATTACTTTTCTTTATATTACTAAAGATGCATCCCTGCAACTGCTTGCTCGACAAAAAATTCAAACTTCGTTGATTTAGAAAAAAAGAGTTTCAATGAATAGTCAAATCCATCATTACGGAATTCGAGTACACGTCAATGTGAATTCAATCACATATGTTTGAATATAATGTCAATGTATTGACATCACGTGGCAATTATTATCGAGAAGCCAGCCACAATTTTAAAGTTTTTTTAAAATCATTCCCGAAACCTCACTCTTGCTGAACAACATGGTTGAGTATCTACGATGCATAGCCCGAGTATCTACAACACCCAGCCTGAGTGAGTATCTACGATGCATAACCCGGCTGAATAACTACAACATCCAGCCCGGGTGAGTATCTATGACACACAGCCTGGGCGAGTAACTAAGATCCACAGCCCGGCTGAGTATCTATGACTCACAAGCCCGGGTGAGTATCAACAAGTGCTGTTTGTTTTTTGATTTGTGTCTTTCTTTTAACGGCAGCACTGGGAGTGAATGGAGAAAGGGAAGTACCTGCAGCTGATAGGGCTTGCCCATGCGCACCAGCTGAGACACCAGCATGCTCGTGTGGAAGAAGTGAACGTTTTCATCCAAGAAACCATGCAGGATAAGCAGCCGGTTTGGCCTGGGAAAGTCAATCACAATCGCAATATCAGATTTGTTTAAACATTATAACACCACTGTACATGATAAGCAAAAGTGTATAGGGTGTTTAGATGCTCAAACACCAAATAGGTACCTTTTGAAAGTGATCAAGTCTGCATTAACCACAATTACTTGTGGCGAACATGCAGACAAAACATGCTCTGATACTATTGTCAGACCAGAGAACGCCAAAAGGCATTCGCTGTAAAGAAGGCTGTCTCTGGTGTAGGCCAATCAGTTTCAAAGACAATGAATATAGTATCAGAGCATGTTTTTCTTGCATGTTCACCACAGGTAATTGTAGTTAATGCAGACTTGATCCCTTGCAAAATGTACCTATTTGGTGTTTGAACATCTTAACACCTGTTGTATTGGCAGAAAGGGTAAAACCTATTATTATTTCTCATTCTTTGGTCCTGGCAAAAAAAGGTCCAATGATAAAAGTAAATAGTGTAGTTGGTTAAATACGTATGAGGCATGAGATAACTCTCGACAATAGTAAGGAAATAATGTAATGCTCATTGATAACGTAGGGGAGTATTTACACAAGACCACAATGTTTCATCACTAAAGCCACAGCATGACACACGCTGGCAATGTAGAAACTGCTCATCAAGTGTATGCCTACGTCGAAGCCTGTGGTTTTCGCTAAGTGTAGTCTGAGCAATTGGCATTTTATAGCTCATGCCCCCTTCCTGCCACGGCAAAATGAATTGTTATTTGGATTAGAAATAGATTTTTTCTTCGTCTTATTTGTGCTGCCTCATTTGAAATGTAACCAATTTTTTCCTACCATAACGCCTGTCTCATCTGTACTATCCTGTTTGTCCCTGTGTTGTTTTTCCGTCTCGTCTATGTTCCATCTCTTGTTAAGACCCTTCTGTATTGTCTGTCTTATTTGTTGTCTGATTTATTCCAAGCAAATGCTTAAGTAAGATGCGATCATAAAACGTGCAGAAATTTCAAATAATCGAGTCTTGCACAAACAATTTAACGCACGTATCATTAGCCGGAAAATCTACTTTCACGGACAAATAATTTCGCAGCATACGATCGCGCTGCAGGCAACACAAGCGTAGTAATACAATATTTACAAAAAAACTATTTGGAGTACGGCATCTAAATGCGACTGCATCTCATGACGCACTCCCTGGGCAGCTTGTCCACGTGGTAGGCCACGGAGCTGCTCTCATAGCCGGACATGTTCTCGTCGGGGGTGCCGAGGTAGCGCTCCGTGTAGGCGGTGTCGTACGCCATCCACACGGTCACCGGCGCGCCCGCTATCGCCACCTGCAGGATGTTCACGAAGAGGAAGACGAAACCCGTAAAAAACACAATTCACTTCAAGGACAGTGCAGATTATCAGAGTTATGTTTTTTGTTTGCATTATGACTGCAGGTATTGTGGTCTATGTAAACATGACTCCTTGTAAAAAAGGTGTCAGTTTTGTTGCCAGATAGAAGGGTAAAAAACCAATTATCATATTTTTTACTGGCAAATGAGGTTCCAATGGTGTAAATGCTTACCCCGAGCTCTCATACTCTGATGGTGCATTGTCTTTGAGTTGTGCGCCTTTTGGCGTCATCTGGTCCAACCCATGTGAGACTAGGCTCTAAGAAAAGCTGTCTCGGGTGTGGACCAATCAACTTCAAGGACAGTGCACATTATCAGAGTTATGTTTTTTGTTTGCATTATGACTGCAGGTATTGTGGTCTATGCAAACATGACTCCTTGTAAAAAAGGTGTCAGTTTTGTTGCCAGATAGAAGGGTAAAAAGCCAATTATTAAACACAACGGAAGTTAAGAGAAGAAAGTTTACCATCTAACAATACATCACATTTCTCGACTCAAAGTCACTCCTCTAAAGTGTACAATGAGAGTCAAGGACCGTATCAACCTTCAATGCATCCGATCTCATCCCATCTCTTCCAATCTCAGAGTTAAGCCTCGGTTAAGAGGCATATAATGACTCAGTCCCACAGCAATTGACAAATTGTCACGATTTGTGATATGTCAAGATACCCAGTGAGGCTATCCTGCGTGGTCAGCTCTCAATTATAAGGGGTGATGAGAATGGAAGGGGAGGCCCGGATAAAACAAATGCCTGGATCAAGTAAAACAAATGTCAATTATCCTAACTACATAGAATGGGAGTGAAGTAATTTTGATGTGTTGTTTTTAGTGCATCTTAAAATAATTGGTTTATTTGCCCAAATATTTGCAATCACTTGAGCACACAATTGCTCACCCTTGAAGAGTAACTAATAAAGCAGCAAGTATGCATTAAAAAATTTGGAAAAAACGGGTTATACACAACCCGGACAATCCACCCAGAGACAATCGTGTGTTAACATAAACTGAATTCCTATTCAATACATTAGTCCCTCTTCTTGAAGCTCGCGTAAGCAGGGCACCTTGAAGATGTCCGGGCGCAGTGCGAGTCCCATGAGGGAGAGGTACCCTCCGTAGGACCAGCCGTGGATGGCGACACGCGTCAGGTCGATAAAGTTGTGCCTCTCGGCCAGCCACTGCAGCCCTTGCACCTGGTCAGCGACTTCCACATCGCCCTGAACAAGCAACAGGTGAACACAAACGCCCAGCCGGCGTTAGTGCAGAGAAGAAATGCACTCTTTGCTTACACCAGTTTGTATTTCACTGCAGTAGGTTGCACGGTGCAAGACTTGCATATTTATCATCTAGGTAAATATAATCCATTCACATTTTCTTAAGAGTATTTCTTAGCTTTTCAGTAAAAAAACCTATTGACAGCATCAATATTTCTGAATATTAGCTTCAGAAAAAAAGGTAATTTTAGAATCTAACATATCAAACTCTTGTCACCCAAAATGTAAAAAGCACACAATGAAACAGAACACTCACGACAAACAGAAACAAGACACTGCAAGCCTCAAGCCCAGGCTTTGGGCAGTTTAACATGTGTTGGAAGTCGGTGAAATAGTGGTGGAATTAAATCAAACGTTGCCAGCGCCGGTGACATTATAAGCAAGAAAGGGTGGCGGCTTGCTTTGATCACCACGAACCATTCGGCGCTTGAGAACGCCCTCGAACTGTAGCCCTCGGTTGGAGGAGCCGCGATTGTCGATGACGACCACGGTGTAGCCCAGCGACGCCAGCGTGTTGAGCCGCATGAACTTGGTGCCCTTGAAAGAGCTGCTCACCAGCTGCACCTGCGGGGGAAACACGAGAGCCGTGTGCTCGAGACAAATTTTGACGTGGGAAATTTACGTTATTTGACATCCGTTTTTGTTTGTGCAATTGTTGATGTCTTGTGTAACGTCGTTGTTTTTACTGCAATTTATATTTGGATGTTTTTCCTCTATCTGCTTAGTTGTGGTACTTTGTTTCATGTTATTGTTCTTGTCATTTTAGTCATCCAGGTCACTGTTTAAATAGCCTATCCTGGTCTCGACTTCTCACCTGGTTAAGCAAAGTAAACTTGAAACTAAACTAAGCTGTACTTCATGCAACTTGGCAGCTTTTAGCAAATCTCTTCATATAATATTACTTTTCACCAACAGGATTCATTTTATAGCAGCCATTTCTCCACGCCGATATAACTAAAATTAAAAGCACCACATGTAGACATTGATAATTTTTTCACTTATATAATCATAGTTCTTCATCAGTCAACTCGTATTGCTTCACACATTAGATGCGCTAAAATATGCATTCGTACTGAGCGACACAACAACAGGTGAAGAGATGTGGTGTGAATCCTCAAAGTAAATATGTATGCATGGCAAACGTTTACGCAAGAAAGTGTACTTTACTGTGATCACATAGTGCGGCATGCAATGAAACACGAACGTTTAAGTAGCAGTGGGAACAGACCGTGTGCAGGATCAAAGATTTAACTATTTCGAACTCGGGTATTGTGGCACTGCAGGGCGTGTTTGTTGGGCGCAGTTGCTTGCACTCACGTGGGGTCCCCCATACACAAAGACGACGGTGGGGTATTTTTGGCCTGGCTTCAGGTTGTGCGGGTGGTAGAGCATGCCGAAGAGCGTGGGGCCGGACTCGCTCTTGAAGTTGAATATCACCGGTGGTTTGTACTCCTGCATGTTCTCTGGTAAAGCACAGATAATTCACACTTCCGTGATTTTAAGTAGAGCACCACAACACGTGCTGTGTTCATAGTGTAAAATGTTTAAACATTTGGCATGCAATGAATAAAACTGGAAGGTCACGATATACACATTGAATTGTGCTTGCAATGATACGATGGTGTTGTTATTATATGTACTGGGTTTAGATGAACCATGCAATCACTACAGGCCACTACATTAACAACAATGTTACCATGGGTTCAGGTGAACGCGACAGCTACTAGACAGTGCCACGTTCACTCAAGTGTTAAAAAAGTAACGATTATTTAATCAAATCATGACCCAGAATTGAGACATTTCATATCATTGCAAGTGGCTGTATTTTTACAGGCCTATTAAATATATTTATTTTTAGACATTCAACTCAAACAGACCATAAACTGGCAATAAAGATACACTTGAGAATATGCCATAAACACTAACGACGTGCAATTACATTATTACGTTATTGGACGTCGTTTAAACTCAATGTGCCGCATGACTCGATGTGCGATAAGCAGACCAGGTGGCTCCATGAGGCTGCCCCAGGGTCCAGGCGCGATGTGGGAGGAGGCTCCTGAACCCGAGCTTGACAGGGGGAAGAGATGCACGGCTGGCGGCCGAGCCACACTGCTGCACTGCGTCACGAACAAGTCAAAGTCCTGCAGCAAAGGGACAGCGGGCAAACCCCACCCCCACCCCCAAAGACTTTGGTTATGTCACGTTTGGCAAAGCAAGGTAACGAGACAAAAAAAAAACGAAAGTGTACGTAATCGCCGTGGTGTTACGCAATGAATTGGTACAGTGACAGCTGTTATTACAATAATGAACATTAATCGCAAAGGTCACAGTTAACTTTTTGAAGTGTAGCATTTGAAACTTCATCTCAGATCGAGTTTTATACCTGGGCTAAATGCATTTTCTTTGAATTAAAATATGCATACAATTCTTGAACTGATATTAAGATTATATCTCTATCACGAATTACCGTTCGATTTTTCTCCCGAAGTGCTACCGATTGTGCATTGCCGATCATCTACCTCCTGTTTTGCTACGTTCTTGGTTATAAATCAAAGGGGATGGAGTAAATAAACAAGACATTCCTTACCGGACTTAGTGAGCAGATATGCGAGAAGCCTGGCTGGGTGAGTCTCCGCACCTCCCCCGGACTCACGTAGCTCACCACGTACAGGTGATGCTCCAGCGGTGAATCAAGTGTGCTCTGAAAGAACACCACGCCCTGCGCCTCGTCCACCCACACCTGGTGGCAGTGAGTATTTTAAAAACAGGATAAAAGTACACCTGTGACAATACATCGATTAATACATTTTAAATAGATTCTTACAAAAGTAATACAAATAATTTAACATCTCAATACGCTTTACAAGAATGAATGCAGAAGGGAGGGGGGCAAGCAGGGGGATTAGAGCAGGGATCCCAAAGCATGCACACATCTCATCAGACATGTAGGAATCAATAACTTACACTTTATGCAAAGTGTACACACATGTTATGCTGTTACATTTTGGCTAATGGTATAAAAAAAAACTGTACTAAGGACACAAACAAACATAGAAATAATACAAATGACATTGGAAAAAGTGAGAAAAAGAAATAACTGAATGTTAAAATTTAAACCCCAAAATCATGACAATTATTGGAATCATGCCGAGTTTTCACTACATTTCTAAACCCGCAGTGCCTTAACCGTTGTCTAATGTAACCATCCAAGCAGGAGCTTGGTTACTCACTTTGAATCCTTGCTGACCAAGCACCTCCCAGTCACCTTGGGTCAAGACAATTTCTTCTTTCAGGGGGCACAAAAAATCAGCTGGAAAAAAATATTCAATATGATTACATAAGACGAGTTAAAAAAATACTTTGGATATCTATATACACACACGCAGTATATTGTCGCTTTAAAGATGGAAATATGGTCAACCAGAATCATTTTTACACGTATGACAAAAACACGAAGCAGTGCTATTAAAGTAATTCAGGCCAAAGATCTTGGCACGATACGAGGAGATTTAATGACAAACACACTAAGCCTGTAATCGCGTGAGAATGGCACTGCAACTGGGATTATCTGGTTCTGGAGGCACTTTCCCCTTGTTACAAAATTATGAATAATTTATTAAGTCTCTTCCCACCTACTTCCTCTGAAGCAAGAGTAACACAGTAAATGTCAGTTTGGAACACCCTCTGAGAAAGGAAGTCAGAATCCCCCTTTTGAAGATATTACTGTGGAAAATTCCACCAAAGCAGTCCCGAGAGAGGGGATCACTCTCGGGGTGGCCGAGTTAGTTACGTCTCACCGTGTGATTATATAGCCGGGACAGGTGCGCAGGTGGGAGGAACTTCTGACCTCACTACCATCATCAGTACCATCATCACTGCCATTATCACCAGCACTACCACTATCATCAGCACCATCAATAGCATCATCAGCAGCAGCAGCACAATTATCGCATCTCCGATTAGCACGGTTGGCTATGTATATGGTGCGAAATAAGTTCAACATGCATACATTCAGAGAACACATCCAAGAGGATATCAACTGCAGAGATGGTGCGTTGAGATCAGCTGGTGTGCAGCTGCTAAGTGGATTTTTACATCGCAGGACTGCGAGAAACGGCGACGGTGTTGGGAGACCTTCATAGCTGATGATTATTATGAATGGCGATAATCAATGTTAGTAAGCAATGCATGTCGTGTTCAAAGGGAAAGCTTTACCAGGGTTTGGGGCCGACTCCTCAGAGCTTTTGCAGCTGTTCTGCTGTAGAAGCGCTGTGACTCGATGCAGGTGGCGAAACCCGGTTTTGGTCTCATTTGCCCAGATGAAAGTAAATTCATTCTCTTTCTCTTGAGGAAGTGGATGGAAGATGTCGGTGACCTGAAGGTCAACAATACACATATCATTGTCACCAGAAGCCTAAATAACTTTATTGGCAGTGAGAGAGATGAGGTGTCCAGTGTTGTGCGCAAGGATGTTCAATTAACGGCTGCTTGCCATGCCATACATTTATCCAGATGTCAGTCTCCTCCTGGTAGATGAGGTAGGGAGTGAGGCTGCCCGGGGTGGCTCGAGCGATCTCATCCCACTTTCCACCTGTAGATGGGGAACGCACAAACAGCGTGGACGGGAGCAGCACCAGCTGCAGCCTCTGCTGGGGACGGTCTAGCAGCTGGGCCCACACACTGCAGATGTCAGAAGTTGCAAGGGGACAGAGAGGCAAGTGTCAAAAAACGGCACGCACACACACATCTAAATATTTCACCACAACCACCAATTCTTAAAAATGGCCTGTAAGGCAAATGATGACGCAATGGTTATTTGATAAATGTCCATTCTCACGCTCCCGATGCGTGAAATAAATCGTGTGAGAAGTGATACTTTCGGGTATAATAAAACTATGCGCAATGACAGACTTGTCATATTCAGAATGGAGGAAACGAGACTACAAATGGGACAAAAAAACCGAGAAACAATGCAAATAGGTCAGTACAATTTTTTTACAAAAAGAAGTTGTTTCTTGAATCGAATTGAGAACCAAGAAAATTTTGGGGAGGCGAATCCATTAGATGCCTAAAGCTTGCGTTGCATTGCAGGCAAATCGCTTGTAACGTAAGATTGCGTGTGCCGTGTCCATTGTGCGATGTCCTTAGTGCACTTACTACTGTCCATCTCGAGTCCAGCCTGCTCGCGTGATGTATTCCGTGCCAGGGAAAAGCACATCAAGTGACATCAGCAACTCCTTGTCAACCACGTCTGTGATCTGAACAACAGATGTGCGCAGTTGGTTTTAACTGAAAGAGTATAAGGGGATTCAATAGCCAAATAACTTTCCCCGTTTTGAGAAGCACCCTCAGATAAAATCATTATTAATTGAAAAATAAAACATTATTATCACTTCCACTTACCCTGCCTTCTTTGTCCACTGTGAATTCACATATCTTAAGTGAAACGAGAGGGTTTTTACTCCCTGAAAAAAAGACAAAAAAAATCAAAGCATTGTTGAAAAGTGTTTACAATAATGTCATGAAAAACAATGTCATGCCAATGATGCCATGATTCAACACATTTTTACTAACTTAAAGATCTATTTTTATTGAGCCAACACCCTATCCCAGCAATCAATGGCTCACGAAGGGTACACAACCGTATTTTTTCAGTATATCTCCTGCACGACCCGTGTCTGTAAATGCTGTATACATAACTGCTCAATGAAAAAAGAAACCCTTTGAAAATTAGTTAAATATTTCCATGTGAGAGACGGTTACTGTTTAAATTACCACACAATATCCATGTACACAAGAAAAAAAAGAAATGGCCGGTTTATGGCCAATCGGGAACGCTGTTTCAAACGGTGAAATACCTCCGGAGAGTCAGCTGCAGCCAGGGTCACCCCGTGTGTTTGTCGGAACCTAGCGGTGTGCGTGGGTGGGGCGCTGGGATGGGTTAATGACCAGACTTCTGTTACAACCAAGTAATCGCAAATGACGGCAACTTAGACACAGCTAATGTGGAATTATGTGATTATGTTATTGAGGGTTTTTTGTCATGTTTGTGGGTTTTTTTCTTTGTGTGTGGGCGCTTACCGGCACGGGGGTAGCGGAAGCAGTCTGCTTTGCGCTGCTGCAATGCGGCAGCTGGCACGTGAATGACCTCCACCTCGCTCTCGTCCACCTCTTCATACAAAATCTGCAGAATGTTGCTGTCACCAGCACCTGCAGTTCCGGTAGGTTTAACGAGGTAGGTGTTACATACCTATCTGTTTCTAAGAATTTCATGAAAAATAGCAATGACAAGTGGAAGGAGCGTTAGGATCACCTGCTTGTGCCACAGGACAGCACCAGTAGCCGGTGTATCTGTCAAACTCCTCTTGAATCACAAACGTGGCCACACCAGCTGTTTTGCAGTCTTCAGCCACTCCACCCACACCTGCAAAGCAGAGCCCATAAGAGGTCAATTTATTTGAAACTGGCTACAAATTTGCTTGCGGGCAATTCAGTGTGCATGTATGCAACTAGACTGTTAACAATTTGCTGTGAACCTTTGTGAGCAAAGGTGAGCCTGCACTCTTCCCCACTCTTCAAACTTGCTGCCCAGAGGTCACCACTGTGGATAAAGGTGACGATGGATGGATCTGGAGGGAAGATTTTGGGATCCATGCGGCTACCAGTACAGCTTGTCTGCACCTCTTTTGGCATCAGCTGTGATGTCTGTCCACAGCACAAACAAAAATAGGCATGTAAGTGAAATTAAATCCTATCTTAAAAAACTGACCAGAAAACAAGTCACTGGAAGACTCACGGTGAACTGGTTGTTGACACCATCCTTGCAGTAGAAGATGCTTCCACCAGCCTGGAAAAGAAATGTTCCGCTGTCCCTGTGGTAATCGTAAGATGTGATCCCGAAAGTGCCCATCCTCTTCCGCTCACGAAGAAGTTCTTCTTCCCGTGAGAATGTGCCAAGTTGTACTGCTGACTGTTGAGAACATATTTGCAATTTCACTACAAGTGTACACATTTTTGCACTCTTTCACATCAACATAAACACAACTATTAACTGGCATAGAAAAAACAAGAAAGCAATCCAGCATCTACATTAAGCGTATAATATGTAAAACGTGAAACACCAGTTACTACTGCTGGTCACTTGGAAATTTCAAATTTACTCAAAACCTGTAAACTGAGCAATGATTATTCGTGGGTACGAACCTGAAACTGATCCAACATTTGTGTCCATGACAAGAATGTATGTCCTTCATTCTGAAGCTGCCTTGGAACCTCAGTATAGAACAGAGTGCTCTCTCTGCTTCCTGTTGGCATACCTGTAACAGAGGCCCCAGTTAAACTTAATTCACGTGACATACCTATTTTCATCTTGTCATGCAAATTGTACTTCCCTGTTGATTTAACACAAAAAGTACTTTTCTTGTACTGCTAAACTCTGCAACTAATTATCCATTTCAATCTTTTCACCAAATCATGTTGCAGTTTGTTAAGGTCAATGTAAACTGCTTACCACTCCTAGATCTCCATTGGTCCTTGGTTCCTTCCAATAAGTTCCTTCAAGTCAGAATGAGCCTTTGTTCTATATGACAACATTTCTCAAGTACATTCTGTGACTAATAAATTAAGTTTCTACACATAAAGAATGAGTGGATGGTAGCGGTGGTGCAGTGGTTAGAATACTGCATTATTAAAACGGTGAGTTGATTTCAGCCATGGCTAACATCAGCAGAAAATGACATCTGAACCAGTCCTGGACCCCCCCCACACTGACCAGCATGGTGAAGTGTATCAGATTGCCCATTACTGGCATGGTGTGCAGAGGCCTTCATCCACCAGTTGATTGTCAAAGTTCATTATTTTATAAAATTATGAAGGATTGTGAGCGCTGTTAAATTTGCTCTGGTGCCCAATCACTACTAAGTTGATAGTTAAAGGGCCCATGGCTACGTCAAAGTGCAGTGTGTCCACTGCCCGCACGTGTCGCACCGAGGAAGTAGACGCGGTGGGATCGCTGAGGGTCGGCCTCATCGCCGTAACGTACGAACTGGAACTCGTGCGGGGCCTTGCAGGCCATCAGGCTCTGCTGCTTGCGGCTGGCACGCACCACCTCCCGGAGCTCATCCCACGAGCGGCGCTGCACGCGGAAGCGGGACACATCGGGCTCGAACACCTCCGATGGTTCGGGAAGGTGAGTCATGCTGTAAAAGAGTTTCAAGGATTTTTTTTTATTACATAGTGCGGCGAGCACACTTTCCCCCCTGCTTTAAACCCAGATGCAGTGTGCAGGACTGAGGTCTGCGGAATTTCTGTAATCCCCCCTTCTGCCTCATTTTTGCTCTGTACCGGGCTCATATTGAAATACAATAAAAAATTGTAAAAAAAATCATATGGTAAGCTGTTTTTAACCTAGATTTCCAATTAACTTTATTTTTACATAAGTGTTGTTTAGTTGGTAAAATAAACTGTTTGTAAAGTCGATAGTAAGAGAAGAAATGTACTGTATATCGCCTTCGAAAAAGCCTATCCTACTCAAAAATGTATTTTGTCCAATGCATTGAAGATGCAGTAAATAGGTTTCATCTTAAGCTGAACATGACAAATTACATCCGATTGTGGAACACAAACATAATATAAAACGGATCCATCACATTCATAGACACAACAGTGCCCAGCTGTTAAAGATAAACTTTTCCATTTTGAAAAACAATGTACAGTAATTCAATTGTCTAAATTTTTCTTTAAATAAGAAGTATTTTCCATACTTTTTAATGGATACTCGGTGCTAACTACAGCATCCCACGACACAAATTGTATCGATACGTGTTTGAATTGGTCAACAATGGCCCCTGAAGCTTATACCACCACCCATCTTTGCTTAGAGGGCTTTGAAAGCTATATCACACTCAAAGACAGTCCAGCAACAATACTGTATGTTTAAATCCCAGTAGGTTTATGACGAATCCCATGACAACGAGTTCATCTTGCAATAATATAACCAGTTACACTGTATTCGTAACAAAATCAAGCAATTGCTCGAAATAGCCACCCTTCAATAAGGGAATTCGGGGACAATTAAAATATAATATTCTTGGAATGCACTTAGGTTTCCTGTTTGGTAGACAGTCATTTATAGTAATTTTATTAACTTCAAAAACCCAAAAAAAAGTTTCCATTAAAAAGCAAGTCATCTCAGTGGACTATCCGCGTTTTAGTACTTAACATTGTCAATAAAACATCAGTCCTTACTCAGGGTAAAGTTTACCCTTCGACATTCACAACATTGACATGCGATTGTAGCACAACAGAATCTTTCTGCACTGTGCCAAGAGTCGTTAAATGAATTGGGCCGAACGTCAAAATGCATGACTTCATGTTCAGACGCATCCGCATGTAGACGCGATATAATAAACACACACACATTGTTATAAAATTGCAGTATCGTTGAATATTCAATTTTTTTAAGTGATTTCCTGTACTTTTGGCGACGCTCGTGTTATGTGTTTTATTGGCCTTAAAGGTATAAACAGCTGCATTTACGCACACATTTCGTCACGTACGTCAAATCGCAAAACACTACATGGGAAGATTAAAAAAAAAACATTTAAATGTCCGTCACTATCGGGTGAGGCTTACGGCAAAACTGCCGAAACCCCCCGACCCACCCCTGGCCATTCTGATAACGACGCCGGGCAGGGCTCGCCTTCGTCGGGAGCCACGCCAGGCAAGAACGGGCCTCGGCTGCGGCCTACTCGGTCTCAGGTTGTTTTTGCAAGCCAAGGCAATCGGCCACGGAGCGACCGGGAGTCGAACTACAGACGACGAAAATGAGCGGAGGTTCAATTGTTTGTATCGAAGGGAAGAAGGCGAACACTGACTTTGTGCCGACAGAGGAGGAGGAGGACGAGTGAATAAGACGCAGGCGTCCAGGAACAGCTGGCCCGTGACCTCTGACCCCTCGGCCAGGGGCGGGGCTTCATCATCATCCTCCCCCCCCCCCCGACTCAGCCGCTCTCCATCCACTGCTGGATGGAAGCCCTCCAAATACCCCTTGTCCGTATTATTCTTTGTTTTTTTCGGTAAAGTCACGTATAAAGATAAAATAATAAATTAAATAATAGCATACGACGATTTCGATTGCAACACAAGCAATCATCATCAGGCATAATGAAATAGCGACATAGAATCTAACCAGAAAACTATAGACAGACATATAAGCAGACAGATATCACCAAGATACATAGAGAGAGAGAGCAACACAGGCACAGAGAGGGGGGATCGTCTCTGTGGGGTGGCCTTAAATAGACAGAGGGGGGCGGAGGCAGAGAGAGGGAGGGGGTAGGGAAAAAATGTACATGTCAATGAGTACGAAGGGAGGGGAGTAAGGTAAGCAGGCTTAGAGGGAGACCGCTTGTCCGTCTTTCACGATCGCCCGATGTCAAAGTACCTCCACCGCACACGAGCTGTTTTCATGGCTCCGTCTCCTGGGTTTTTTCGCGTCCTCTGTGGGATGGGTTTCCTCCTAAATCAGCAGTTGTCCTGCTGTATCGGTTCCGTGATCGAAACGTGGTTAATTTATTTTATTTGATACCTACGTGACTTTACCGAAAGAAACAAAGATAATGAACCCCTTCTCTGTGCCCTACCTGATCACAGACCTTATTGGTCACCCCCGTGTCCTTATCAATCTCAACATCCATCCTACAAAGGCCCATCACAAAGGAGAAACACAAATAGACAGAAATGTGCCCGTATTGAAACGGCTGTACGCCGTATGGATCTGAAAACTAAATTTCCCTGTACAAGAATACGGGTTAAACCGTGTGGATTGACAGGTGTGCCGTCATGACAATTGACGATCTGTTACTCGACTCTTTTGGCCAAGACTTGTCGTCAAATCACCCACCGAACGCTGGAGTTGCAACGCCGCCATGTAATTCACGTGTCCATGTTTCTCTCCGTCAATGTTAATTCCAAGCGTGCGTTTTACGAAGCTTAAGACTTTGATGTTCAAAAAGCAATTGGCCCCGTGTCTGATTCTCTCACGAGCCACCACGAAGTCAATCTCACGCGACCATTTGGACAATCTCATGCGTAACCCCATCCATATCCCAATGTCAGAGGTCTCAAATAAAAATAAGTATAACCAGTAAAAACAAAGTTTTTCACTATAAATCCTTTATATGCGTGGCGGCTAGAGTCCTCTCGTCCTCTGGCTTGAGATGCCTGCCACCTATGGGTCAGATGATTGTCTTCCAGTATTAAGCAATTGGTAATTAAATATTTAATTAGTTTTCCCTAAACAGTGTAAAATTTTGGAAAAACATTTTCACGAACATTAATTGTCTCGCACAACGAGTCTGTGTGCAAAATTTCAGCTCGATTGGATCACGGGAAGTGGGTTAAAAAACGACCGAAAGATTTGCACGGTCGTAAGCAAGCAAGCACGCAAGCAAGCGAACTTAATATAAAGGATTTAAAAACGTCGACAGAATCGATTAGTCAAAGTCGGTTAAAATACAAGGGTGGCCAATTCTTAACTCTTCACAGACTGACCCCTGTAATAAGAATATCGAATTTCCATCACTGGTTCAGGGTCAAACAACCCAAAGCTTGCTTTAGATCAGCGGTCGGGAACCTATGGCTCGCGAGCCATATATGGCTCTTCCAGTGACGGCATATGGCTCCCAGACAATTTTGAGTTAAAAAAATAATAATAATAAAAATCAGTTTGGAACTGATTTTAAAATACTTGTGATATTGTTTAATAATACTGTGTCATTTTAAAGTAAACAGAAATTAGTTTTGAAGATAAATTTCACGTGTCACGCCTGCACGAAGCTCAACCTCACCAAGTCGTATGAACCAGACTACAAGGCCATCAGCAAAACCATGCAGCACCAGAAGTCGCATTAAAAGTAAGACATTTAATTTATTATACGTTTAAAATACTATATGGCTCTCAATGAAATATATTTAGAAATATTTGGCTTTAATGGCTCTCCCAGTCAAAAAGGTTCCCGACCCCTGCTTTAGATACTGCACAGTGCTCTCACGTGGCCCGAGTCCAGTGATAGGAGAATAATCAACTTATGAGTCGTGATAAACCTGTGGTGTGAGATTAAAAATTCTACACTCTACGGACAAGTTAATAACAGACAGCTTGCCTTCAACTTTGCACTGCAATAATCATTAAATCCAGTAATGCCATTTTGTATTGCCATTATTTTTCACAGCCATCGGAGAAGCAGGCGATTGATTCTACAAGAAAGTAGAAATGTCCAGGTATCCAATGGACCCAATTTATACACAGTGTATGGACAATCACGACTAAGGTCTGACTTATATTCTAAAATGCCAATAAAGCTGAGATTTGGTAATGTCGGTACAGGGTGCGTATGTTTCATTATGTGGGGAAGTTAGCCACGCAGATATAGATGAGGATGGGTAGGAGGGAGCCAGATAGGGAGATAGTTAAGAAAGGATACACCACTATTGTTTGAAAGATAGGTTATGTATCGATTAGTCAAAGTCGGTTAAAATACAAGGGTGGCCAATTCTTAACTCTTCACAGACTGACCCCTGTAATAAGAATATCGAATTTCCATCACTGGTTCAGGGTCAAACAACCAAAAGCTTGCTTTAGATACTGCACAGTGCTCTCACGTGGCCCGAGTCCAATGTATTGTCTGTAGATTATTAGACTACGTGTATTTATATTAATTTGCTGCTATAAATTTCCACATAAGCCACTTTGTTCAGCTATCATTTGTGGCCAAAGTCGCTTCTGAAAAATAAATTAATAGTTCAGTGGGTTCTACCTGGTAAGATTAAACAAATTGTTAAGTTTTATTTGTATATTTTTTATCGGTTTGTTTACCTTTCCTTTACTTTGCACTCCTATCGTATTTTTCTATTGTTTGTTGTTGCAACGTTCTGACCCTCCCCTATTGGACATCTGTGAAAAAGCTTTGTAGCTCATCGGATTTCTCCATTTTATTCAGATTCTGATACTAGGTAGGTCAGGGGTCGGTAACCTTCTTTGGCTGCCCCCCCAACTCCCCATGGGGCTATTTGGCTGCCCCCTTGTGGGCTGTCGTTTTCTTTTTAAATCCTTTATATTAATCTTCTTCTTGTTTCTTTCGGTAAAGTCACGTAGAAGGGAAGTAATAAAATAATAAAAATAAAACATAATAAAACAATTCTCACGACGTTTCGGCTACAACGCAAGCAGCCGTCTTCAGGTGAAGAATGAGACACTACCAAACTAGGAGCTTATATATAAGCTGCATTGGGGGTTGAAGAGCGCCTTAACAAAAAGAATGTGCATGTGAAGAGGGATTTAGCATATTCATGGAAAATGCGTAGGCGTTGGGCGGGGGGGTGTCAAAGTCATATTATGCCCATGCATTATGCAGGATCAGCAGCAACCAAGGGGGGTGCAGGGATTAGCAGTAACAAAGGAAAGGAATGTTAATGATATGTAGCTGCAGTTACTCAACAACACGTAGAAAACTAAAGTATAAACTACATAAAAAACTAAAGTATAAACTGCATCGCACCATCAGTATACTTACTATACTCTATAATAAGCTGAGTTACTAACAGCAAGTAATACATTACAATTTTACCTCGTAAAAATTCTATAATATGCTTCCATCTAAACCTTATTCTCTTACATCACACGAGCATATACCGTACTATATACTGCCATAGATAAACCCAACATTAAATTATATACTGTATTGCTGTAAACCAACCTATATCTTATACATTTAATATCACACTATGTATTATTCTACACACCCTAATGTGTATCGAAATGGTTTATTACGTCCTTCCAATGATTGCTGAGCCAGAATCCATCTTCTCGGTTAAAGTTGTCTCTGTGTTTGTATATGTGGATCGCCTCATGAACGAATCTCTCATGATAGCCAGATGGCTTGCAGAGAACCTCTGTCTTGGAGAAGTCAATATCATGTGAGCCCACTGAGTTGTAACAGTGATCTGCCACGGCTGAGGTGTTAGTCCTACCGTGTTTCAGGTCAGCTTTATGTTCACGGATGCGGTCCGAGACATGTCGTTTGGTTTCCCCAATGTAACTGCTACCACAGAGGCAACTTAGTTTGTAGACGCCAGGGTACTGTATGTCTGGAACCACATCTTTTACAGACGGTACCAGATCACGGATTTTATGTACTGTGTTGAATCGGACCTGGATCTTGTGTTTAATCAGGATTTTGGAGATCTTTTTTGTGACCCCAGCAATGTAGGGTAAGGTGATGGTCTTGAAAGGCTCCTCAACAGGATCCTTCTTGATGGTTGGAGTGATGGCTTTGCGGATTGTATAGTCGGAGTAACCATTTGCCTTAAGAGCTTGGCGTACGTGTTTGAGTTCACTGGAAATGTGTTCATGGTCGGAGATGCATTGGGCTCTATGATATAGAGTCTTGATGAGGGAATTCTTCTGAGATGGATGGTGGTGGGAATCCGGTTTTAGATAAGCATCCGTGTGGGTGGCTTTCCTGTAGACAGAGTGGCTCATTGAACCATCAGGTCTCCTTTTGATTAGGACATCCAAAAAGGGTAGCTTGCCATCATTTTCGACTTCCATGGTGAATCTGATGGCTGGGTGTATGGAATTGATGTGGTCGAGAAATTGGTCTAGAGCAGGCCGGCCATGTGGCCAGATGACAAAAGTGTCGTCTACGTACCTCTTCCATAAGGTCGGGCGTAGAGTGGCAGTCTGGATGGCGTCCGTCTCAAATTTCTCCATGAAGATGTTGGCTACAACCGGAGATAGGGGGGAGCCCATTGGGGTGCCCTCAATTTGCTTGTAGAAGGTTCCATTCCAGGTGAAGTATGTATTGGTTAAGCAGTGTCTCACCAGGGGGGGTACCCCAGCATTCAGTCCTTGATGAACCAAGTCTTCAATGATTGCGATGGTGTCAGGCACA